ACATAATTATAAGCAAGAATCATGATCTGAATATTATTTAGTAAAATCATATGAACAATTTAATAAAAAGAATTTTGTTTTCTTTCCCAACTGATATTTTCACTAGTAAATGAAAAAGAGAGTGGTGTAAGAATGGCACATTATTCTTCGTCAATATTAATGCCCACATTGAATTGTTGAAAGGGTTCAGATTCGATGTAATTTGAGGAAATGTGACATTTGTTTTGACTATCGTAAACGACGTCAATTATAGACTCGGCCGGACAGGAATTAAAACCTTCTCTGTAATTTATGCATAGCTGGAGGAAGAGTTTTCTATTCTTTTTAGAATGCTTGGTAGAAGAAGAACAATCAAGAAGATTTTGGCAAACTTCACCTGTGTCCACGATTTTTTCATCCATTAGCGGCCTCAGTTGCCCTCTCAAGTGATGTATAAGCAGTGGCAAGTTTTCTGGAGGTTGGTTCCATGTATTGAGAAAAACGTACAAACCAGTCATGTTGGCATTACAGGAAGCGAATCTACAATAGTTCTCCCTTAATAAATTGTATTTACCTTTCTTATTAATGTAAACATCACGATGAAGAATGGGATAAGGAGATTGATGAATTGTTTCATATCTGTCAAAAAGCCTCATGACCAAAAGTAATCGTGTATCATCGCTTAAAGTGGGGAGCTGGACACGAAACTCTAAATCATTTATATCACTGAGTAGGGTTTGCAAAAAGCTTAAATTTTCCCACTGTACACATTCCCTCAGGTATCTTAAAATTATAACTTTTTTCATTTCTGTAGTGAGACTAGAATTGTGCACATCCGGGACTTGAAAAACTGGTTTTAGGTTATAGAAGCCAAAAAACGATGCAATATCATAAGTCCTTTCATCTCCAATCACGCTGGACAATGACAACTGAAAATTTATCGAAGGACAAGACATCAAAATATCAAGGGCTTCTATTTCGAAGTTCCAACTTCCTTTTATATCTATCAGTCTATCTACTAACTCTGAATCATATTTTCTTAAAAATTCGTAATGAGAATTTAGTACCATCCTCATATTAAATGTTGTGAACTCCTCTCGTCGTATGTCAAGATTCATAGATGATTTGAGCAAATTTTCGAATTCATTGATGACTGGTAAAAGGTGAGGGCAAAGGAAAATCCACGCTCTTTTATGCTCTGAGTGGCTCCAAACAGTACTGAAGAAAATATTTACTTCAGTGGTAAGGTACTTGAGTAAGACAATAGTCTTGAGGACCGCTAACCTGTGGCTATCGTAGGAAGCCGGCGAGTTATCCAACTTCTTCCGGATAATTGAAACTCCTTGGCTGATGCGGTATCGTAGATCGGTCATCCGCTTCCTCACTGCGAGGCAGCATGCTCTTTCAAATGTCTCTGACAGGTCATGTACTTTTAGCGCTTCATCGAGGCAGCCATATTGAAATACCTCCACCCATATATCGCATGGTAACCTGTCTATAGGATCTGGATTCATTGTCACATTGTTTCCTCCATTTTTGAGTGTAATAATTTACATGTTTGGATCTTAATACTTGTAATTTCAATCTATGTTCGTTTCTATGGTATCTGATTAGGAACAAATGTTTTTATTAGCTACCTATTTTATATTATCTTAATTCGATATTAAATTAGAAACATTAAATTGACTAGTACATTCACTTAAACTTACCCGTGTATATTTGAAACCTTAAATTATTTTAAAGTTATAGACAACAATTTTTAAACAATAAAATAACGTCCAAAATATTTCATGAAGTCATAGCTAAAAGTGACTTATATCGGTTCTTGCCCATATTTTTTGTAGAATCCTCGTGATTATTGAAGTTAAAACTTAAGGCCAAACATTTGTATTCCGATTTCATAATATTGTTGGTTTATTTAACAGTTTACTCAAAAATGGCTTTACTTCTTTGTTGACATCATTTATACATACATACATAATTGATATATCAAATCGCTTAGAGAATTTGAGACTCCTCTGGCTTGCGTTGCAGCAATTGAGTCTCGAGTATATATAAGTCTCTAGCATTTCCTTTTGCGAGGCCATACTATCTTTAAACTTTAATAAGTTATAATTATCCGCGCCTCCTAAAAAAATATACGAAAAAATAACATAATTCAATCTAAAATTACAAAAAAAAAGGGAAAATAACAAATTACTAACAGTTATTAGACGTTAACTTTTACAAATGAATATATATTTTTAAAAACAATCATTCAAACTGGACTATTAAAAGTTGATTTGATAGGAGGAATTCGGACTAGCTAACTGAGACATAATATAAATATATACAGGGGTGCCCAGAGGGTGTTTCACGGCCCAACTTGCGCCATCAAAATTTTTGAGAGAGGCACATTTTGATGTTGTTTTGAATTTTTGAGGGGGGACATTTTGAAGCTGTTATGAATTTTTGGAATGAAAAGTTTCAAACCAGGTTGAAGTTTCAAATAAAACTGTAATTTACATGACTTATGATTTCTAAAATTATACTTTAGCTTGAACTGTTATTAAAAATAGGAGAGCAATAAAATATTTTGGGTGAATGACTTTGTTAGGGGATGGGCATCCCTGTGTATATATATATATATAAAGAAAAACATTTTCCCCCGAAATATTTTTTACGTATGTATCATATTTTATTATATATTATATTTCCAAGTATGTGTAGCATGCTTCTAAAAGTAAAGTTTAAAAATTAATTGATCCCTAGTGTACACACGCCAATTGGAGTTTCTCCAGATGCAGATAAGGATGATTTTATGAGATCCTTGGCTGAAGTATTGAATAATGTTCTAGATATGATGTAAAGACTATTTTTGGAGATCTCAGTGCTAAACTAGGAAAAGATGATGTGTATGTCTTAGTTATTGACATAGTCTACATGACACAACGATTATGGGTAGAGGTTTGAATATGAGAGGAGGAAATATGCATCAGAAATTAGCCAACAGATTTAAAATGACTCGTTTCACACGATTAATGCTTATTTGTAAGATATGTTTATTGTAAGACTAATGTTAATTGTAAGATGTCGACGAATGTTTTCAAAAAATGAAAAAAATATAAATACATTTCCATACAAATTTTACTTATGACGGAATTTATTACCTTACACATGACAGTCGGAAAAGAGTTCCAGAGAGAGGCATTTTGATTATACAGTAAACTATATAAGAATACAAGGGTGGAAACATGATGTGGTAAAATTGCAAAGGCCTCGACCCATGGGTGGCTTCTAATTGATAACAAGGATTTGTTTCATATATACTCACCTTAATTTAAAAAAAAAAAATGTCATCTTCTTTCTAAAACTATTTGAACTTTAAAAATATATTAGTTTTTAATATTATTGAATTATTATAGGAAAAAATGTGGCCTGTCCCTTTTTGATGACACATCTTAAACTACTTAATTAAATTAGTTTGTGATTAAACTTATTTTTTAAGTTGATAATCTTTTGTTATATATTATATGTATATATTTGTTAGTGCGTGCGCTAGTTATAATAGTTATAATAGTTATAACTTGCAAAATAAATTTGTAGATGTTCAATCAATACCTAGTGGACAAAGAGTTCCAATGAAAGCATTGTGGATTTAATTTCGATTCAATATCTTAATAGATGTTTACAAACGTTCTTTCTTCTTACTACCAAGATAAATTTGATTTTCATAGAATATGAATAAAGCCGTCAAGGGTTTTAAATAATTTTAAAGTGTATTTTGAGCACAGCACTCTAAAAATAAAATGCAGTTTCAATCTACATCTTATAACCAACAATGTATTATTATGTATAAGATAGGCAAATCTTCATATTTTGAGTAAGAACCATAGGGGGTCACAAAATTTTGCTGACAGAGATCTCCAAAATCATACTAACATCACTATACAAGAATATACAATAAATAATTATACAGTTAACTATTACCATATCTTGTGCCCAACATGTTTTATTTTTCAATTGATAAGAAATTAGGGATTATTGTAATTTTATCAAGTTTTCCTTCCAAAACAATGTCAAATTATTTCATTCTTACGCCTTTAGTTGTTAGATTGAACATTTTTAAGAAAACTGACTTTCTAGATTTCCTCTTCCTCTTCTGAAAAAAGAAAGCCGAAGGAAAATAAGCTAATTATTTATGGAATAAATAATAATATGGAACCAAACATGAAAAATAAGACCAGTGAAATTAATTCTAATACCTTTTTAAATCTTCATCAGTTTTCTTACGTATGGATATGCGTTGGAATAACAAAAATAGTTCACTGATTCACTTTTATCTTTAATCATAATAAATGAAATTACAATCAAAAGAGGAGATGTTAAGTCGTCCCAAGACATTTTGATATATGAAAATTGATAATTAACTATTATTTCTATTTCTATATATAACTACACGCGTCGTAATATACATAATGTCACAGGTAGCTGGAAAGGAATATTTCCTTTAAAAACCCCTATTACTTTGGCATTATGCATCCTTAGTTTAGTGGCTTTTTACAGAATTTCAGTATTGCCCACTTGATGTGAATATAATGCTACAAAACTCTTTGAAAGGAGTGCATATATCATTTTTCGCACTCATTCCAATTACCCATTTAATTGTACTATTTATAAGCTCTCTACCACGTGTCGTACCACTTTGGCTAGATAATTTGTCATGAGTGTAGTCTCGATTGTCATATCGTACCAAACTCAAAAGTCATATACAGTTATTTACAAATTTATTAATGTTGTTCAGCTGTAAATTTTCAAGACAGACTTTCGTATTCAACAGCAACAAATAAGCTCCTTTCAATTTATTAATATTACCTCTTAGGCATGTTAGGCTTTATCACTATGGCAAAAAGTTAAAACATCAAGTGCAAGTGAAGATCAGGTTATTTCATGGTTACAATGGCATGTCCAAATTGAAGTTTTAGGATTGGATATGACAAGCCAGACATTTCTTTCATTTGACTTTTTCAAATAACTATCTTATGGCAGGAATAGTTAGTAATACTAAAAGGCTGGTGAGAGAGAGAAAGATAAAAAAAGAATGGCTTGCTTTAGGTATTCGTCCTTCAAATACACAAACCACTCTCAATCCTACACATAACACAGCAAAGACCTCAAAATCGCTTAATAGAATTGAATCAAACGACAGGCAATATTTTGAGAACTATACATTAAAATATTTGTTGCAAACAAATTGTCAAGGTCAAAAACATCAATGGTCATGGAAAGAAAAGTTATTATTGGCTTTTGGTTTTGGTTTGATGGTTGCAGAATGTAAAAGACAAATGAAAACAGGTAGTTCTCATTCCTACATTAAACTTAGTATAACTTTCAGAAGGAAAAGTTTGATTCATTATTAATTTTCCCCCAGATTTGAAGTTTTTTAACTGTATTAAATATGGTACATCAAAAGAACTAAGAAAGTAAGTTTAACATCATTATAAATTAAAATGAATATTAATTTGTTTTACCTTACTCCAATTTCATTTCATTTGTTAAGGCTTCTTAAAGATGGATCTGTGAATGTTAATTTAAAGCACCATCTTGGATGGACTGCGTTGCATCTTGCTGCTGTAAATGGAAATACGGAGCTTCTAAAAATTCTGATAGAAGCTGGATGTGATGTAAATGCTGGAGACGAATATATAAACAATTACAGAACTGCTCATGAAAAGGGTCTCAACACGTTTGAAGGTTTCTATTGAATATTATTTTAAAAAGTCTAGCGATGAGTTTACTTAATCAAAATACCCTCACGGGACATATGCTGTACTGTAAAAATTTCACTCCACTTTCATGGATGGCACAAGATCTCATGATCCCACCCTAAATGGAATGACAAGAAGAGAGGTTGTACTGTGAGTACAATGTCAAGCCTTGCCTATTCTCGGATCTCATTTATACCATGGATATGAGATCTGGGCCAACTAGACAAGGTGGAGTGTGAAATTTGTACAGTACTACCAAATTTGGCACCTAGTCTCTAAATTGAGGAATATATTTATTTATATATTTAGACATTTTCATGAACTAATTTTAATGTTTCAAGTTAGGAAAAACACCTATGGGTGTGACCTCATTATTTTTACTCATTCCTTGAAAATCCTTTAAAATATCTATCTGTGCAACAGATTCAATCATGTATGGGCAATTGGTGGAATTGAACTATATTTTCAGTAAACTTATGTTGCCTTCAATTATTGATATTTCTTTCTGGGACACTATATATTACACAGCTTGATTAAACTTTGATTAATTTGTCTTATCAAAATGTCCACTATTTTTTTCAGTTCTTCTTCAGAGGGAAACTGAATTCAGTGATGTACTTCGGGCTCAAGAAAATTATCTTGGTTTTACACCACTTCACTATGCAGTGCTAGCTCACAGTTTAGATTGTGTGCTAGCCTTGATTGCAGCAGGTGCTAATCCGCTGATCGAAGCATCTGGGCATAAAGCCATAGACCTAGCACATGATCATAAAGAGATTGAACGTGTTTTAAAAGAATACATTATAAAGGTATCATTTTCATTTTTTACATTAGTTCTTATTTTTATTAATAATATATTATGGATCACAGAATTAAGTTAATTGAAACAAAGCTCACAAATATTTATTTAAATATTCATTTGAAAACTTTTCTTGAATAACTTATATTGATGAATGCTTTCACAAAATGATTTACATGGAGAAAGGGATATTGCAAATTTAAGTGAAAGTATCTTAGTCTTGTATGGATATAATAAAATATCCATTACCTACATAAATGGTATCATCTATATGTTTATAGATAAGTTTATTTGTGACATAAGAAGCATTAGAGATTGTTGAGTAGATGAAATAAATTTGGGAAGAATTTGATTGTTTCATGGAGTCTCAAAAATGAACTCTATCGGTCTCAATAAGTCTTATTATAGTAAAGGTATTTTTTTAATAAATTAGAGGTGTTGAGCAACTAAAATTAAATGTTGAAGAAGTTAAAATTTATGTTTAGTTTCTTGTTCTGGTCTTGCATAAGATCTCTACTCATTTATAAAGATGAAATACTATTTTAAAAAATCTCAGGTATGTGTTCTTTTACCTGTGTCCATCAAACAAAAAGAATTGTTTTTAGCATCAACATTCTAGGATCTTCTTTGCAAAAATCGAGAACACGATTTTTTCTTGAAAATAAATATAAAAATAGTACAAAAATGTTTCTTATACTTTAACCCATTTTCAAAAGGAGAGGGAACTCATTTCCATTCACTGAAGTGTTTGCCGTGTAATGTAATTATTTTCTGCCATCTTGAAAATGGAGAAACAGACATCAGCTAAGCTTAAAAATTGAATGTAAGTCACTCTACGTTATCTTCAATTTGGAAAATAGAGCATTGATTCAAGATTTTCTAAGAAAAGGGAGTTAGTTAAATAATTGGAAACACTTTCATAATAATTTCAAAGAAATTAATGAACTATTTGCTAAAATGGTTTTGAATCGAAGGAAGTCACAATATTCCTCTCTGGTCCATTCTGCCCACTAAGGTGAATGATTTCTTGAGATCCTATAGTATTATGTAAATACATATATTGTAATTTTATTTATAAAAAAATTTATTTTTATTATTTATTATGAAAATGAATAGTGGTCAAATTAAATTATATAAATATTAACTAAATATACTTTTTCATTCACCATTTACATTGTTTTATTATATCTTAGCAAGTTATATTAATCTATTAATGGTAAAGCGAATCATTAATTGACCATTTTCAGTTTGAAGAAGATGAAAAGGAAAGGCAAGCAGAAGAGAGGAGGAAGTTTCCATTAGAACAGCGTTTAAAGCAATATATTGTTGGTCAAGAAGGTGCAATATCAATAGTTGCCTCAGGTGATTAGCTATTATTAGTTATACTTTATAATAAAAATGAAATATTAATAAGGTTAAATATTGTAGCGATTCGTAGGAAAGAAAACGGTTGGGCAGATGATGAGCATCCGCTTGTATTTTTATTCTTAGGAAGTTCAGGAATCGGTAAAACAGAATTGGCGAAACAAGTTGCAAGATATATTCATAAAGAAAATCCTTCATCTTTTATTCGGTTAGATATGTCTGAATATCAAGAGAAGCATGAAGTAATTATTTTTCTATACATTTCTATTATACTAAAATCATATGTAGATTATAATAGTTGAATTGGTAGGTAGCAAAACTCATTGGAGCACCACCCGGTTATGTAGGGCATGATGCTGGAGGACAGTTAACAAAAAATTTACGTAATTGTCCTAATGCGGTTGTTCTACTTGATGAAGTTGACAAGGCCCATCCTGATGTCCTAACTGTTTTACTTCAATTATTCGATGAAGTAAGTTTTTCATAAATTCGTTCATCCTCATCTAACCAAATATTATATACAAGAAAGTGAAAATACAGTAATAAAAATTTTTTATTTTATTTTTATATCCAAATTTTTGATGGTTCATATCTGGTTTTCCATTTTATTTAAACATTGTGCAATATAATTATTTATTTTTAAGGGCCGTCTTACTGATGGAAAAGGAAAAACAGTAGAATGTAAAAATGCAATATTTGTTATGACTTCTAATCTCGCATCTGAAGAAATAGCTGACCATGCGATGCAACTAAGATCGGATGTAAAAAGACTTGCTGCTAAAAAAGGTAAGGTGAAGTAAAATGAGATAATTTCTTTTTTTTACATTGTTAATATTTTAAACATGACCTTTAACTTTAAACTGCACAGTGTCTGTAATTTTACAGTAACTATAAATTAAATCTAAGTATGAAAACCAGGTCAGTTATTCTGGAACAATTAAAAATATTTATTTTTAAATTCTCCTAATAAATAATCATATCAAGTATTCTTGATGTAATTAATGCTTTATTTTTTTTCACAAGTCCTTATTAGTATATGTTGTTGGTTTATTACTAAATGTCTTAATCGACATTTCATATTCTTAAATTACAAAGAATATTGTTGATTTTTTTAAAACAGAAGATTGTGTGCTTTTGTATCTAGTTTGATATATTTTAGTATCTTTTTAGTGTATTTACTGTTTGTTTTTTATCAATAAATAAGCTTGAAATCCAAAAAAAACATTCTTAAAATTCAGCTCCATCAAAAATATTCTTATTGACTTTTTGCAATAAACCGACGACATGATGTTTACACAGAATGTTTTATTATTAAATTATTTCCTGTTACCATATTTTGTTAAAGATGTCTTACTATAAATATTTTATCTCATACAAAATTAGAAGAGAGAAGCATTTATGCCAATAGAAACACTGCATTTAATAATTAATTTTAAGATGTTTCACTTCTTCCAATAGCTTGATTCAGTTGTCAGTAATAGTCTGAATTGATAAGAGAAATTCAGATAGAGATATGTGAATAGAAAAAAACATATTTTGTCATTTTCCAGTACTAATTTTTCATACTGAACAGGTTCCTTTTTGGAGGATCCCTAGGGAGGGAGAATATATATATTTTTTTTTTTTCTCTTGGGTGAGAAGTTAAAAATGAAATAGGTGGTGTACAATCTTAGGGAACATATTGGTCCCCTGAGTTGGTATGTAAGCGGTCATGGGAACTATTTTCTTCTAATCCTCCTTTATTTGAACTTAAACAAATTACAATATATAATTATAAAATGTACAAATATATTTCTTCTTACTTGGTTCTTGTCTCCCAAGGGCAAAAATCAATGGGAACTATGTTGAAGCTGAACATTTGACTCTTGTTTGGCTTTTAGTTGTGCAAGGAAGCAACTGTTACAAAATTGAAGTTTTTTACAGTAATTGGATATATTTGAAGAAAAAAAAAAATACTCAAAGATTTTGTGAGCAAAGAAAGTTCTGATTGATTGTCTGACTTATTTCTGCATAGGTTTTATAGAAATCATTATTAATATTTTAAATCATGTTTGACTATCCTTATTTATTTTTTTAATTTAAAATTCTCCTTTTCAGAGATGGAAGAATTATCAGAGGAAGTAACAATATCACGTAGTTTCAAAGATAAAGTTGTAAGACCAATTCTGAAAAGGCATTTTGGCAGAGATGAATTCTTAGGAAGGATTAATGAGATAGTTTACTTTCTCCCCTTTTCTAATTCTGAACTTAATAAACTAGTATCAAAAGAACTTAATTACTGGGCTGCCAAGGTATGGATTAGTACCTATAAGAAATGGTTTCTGTGATACCTAAATTAAGCATCATGTTATTTATTAAAAATTTTGCTTTTAACTATTTAAATTTTTGTTGATCTGAAACAATTAAAATTGAGATGATATTTTGAAGAACATTGGGATTATGGATAAAAACAAAACAAAGTTAACTTCATAAAGTGCAAGTCAATTTAAAAGTAAAAAAAATGATGAATGTAGGTCTTAACTAAAAAAATTCTTTTCTATTACAATAAATTATTATGAAGTATTAGTTTCTATTTATTTTCATGATAGACGATCTTATATTTAATTTGAATAGAAAATTTGTGGTTCTGTTCTGTCTGCATGTCTTAATGGTTTGATGTCATGTTTACTGTATGATAGAGGGAACTGAATAAATAAAAATACCAGTAGACTAAACTAAATAAGCTTGATTCTATTGAAAAATTAACTTTGATCAAAATGTGCTGCCGATTCTTATTCTTATTTCAGATTCAATTATACTTCGGCAATTTAATAATTTTTGTCAAAATATGTTAGATTTATTTGGTTGTTTAATTTATTTTACTACTTGTATCATTATTAGCCAGTATATAAGTACACACCTCTAAACTAATTTAAAAAATGTTTCCTGATTCTCATGTCGCTGAAAACATCAGAACAGTCATATTTGTATAATTTATTTTAGGTTTCGCTTTATAAATTTTTTGATATATTTGTAATGAGTTCACATTTTATAAATTGATATGGCATGCTTTGTAAATCTAACAAGCCATCTGACCAGAAGTAGGTACAGCAAAAACATTTATTTCAGGTCTCTTATCATAAGATGGCTGGCTTTCATGAATTATTTGCCAAATAATTTACTGCTTTTAAAAGATTATTTGTCACCAATTATTATGTATGTGGGGCCGGTATAGCGAGTGGTTAGCGCGCTATACTAGTAAAGCAAACATCATAGAATCGAATCCCGGCCCTACTTCCCAATACAGCTGGTCCCTGCGGGAAGTTAGACCATTACCCTCTTAATTGGGGAGGCCTACAGATATAATACTTGTAAAAATAGGCTATACAAGTAATTATGTATGTTGTCAAATTTCATTATAACCACAGTCTGTAATCTTTTGATGAAGTTTGATCTATACGGATTTTATTTACTTGTTAAGGAATTTAGGTTCAAATTTAAAATAATTTCAATGTTATAGTCAACGATTTCGAAATTGTGGGTCAAGGCATTTGGAAGTTATAGAATCATAATCTGAGCTAAGGTCTGTTTCATAACTGATACTTCGGGATCTAAGTCCTTGAAAAGTCCTTTGATGAGTGGAGCAAGTGCAAGTGGCGGGAAATTGGTGTGTCCCATTTTAAATCTAACCGATGGACCAATAAATTTATTTATGATAGAAAAATTCTCACCGGCTCAGAATAGAGGAACACTGTGAAATATAATGTTCATTACACTCCTCTCCATGGAGTACAAGGGGCTGGAAGCCAGGTTAACTGAGATTTTGGACAACTCTGCCACAAATGTGGCTGAGAATCAGAAACCCCGCTCATGTGTGGGGCAATTGTCCACATAACGTGCTCCTTGTCAACCACCGGCACAATAATATAACACCTTGAAATGAAGAATTATAAATGTTTCCTCATTTAAGATTATTGCCTGGGTACAGAAGGCTCAACAATGTTTATTGACATTTTGGCGTTAAATGCGATGGATAAGGAGGCCTTCATAGTGGATCGTACGATGAGGGTCAGGATTTCAAGATACAGGCAGAGAAAGAGGAAATTTTTACAAAATGCATACTTTAGCTGAAGGAAAAGTATTGAGACGAATTCGGCAAGAGAATTTCAGTCCATAGAGAATGCTATGGTTCAGAAAGGGAAGGGTGTTGGAAGGGAGTAGATGCAGGCCATGGCAGAAACTATTATTTTAGACTCGTTATGCATCCTCCATCACCACATATATTGATCTAGACATTTGCTTATTTGATTCTATAAACCGTTATTGGCATACCTGATATGTATTCCAATGGTCTGACCTAACGCTCTCTTATATTTTTTTAATAATATTATCTATTGATTGATGAGTATGCTGTTGAGCAGCTGTGCAATGTTATTGCATTTCTCTCTAATTCAAAATTCTTAAATGTTTACAGGCCAAAGATAAACATAATGTGATCTTATATTGGGATACAGGTGTTGAAACAGTATTAGCTGGTGGATATAACATGCATTATGGTGCAAGGAGCATCAAATATGAAGTGGAACGTAGGGTCATCAGTAAATTGGCAGCTGCTCAAGAATCAGGTATTTTAAGTTGACATGTATATTTTTTTAAATTTAAATAACATCAAATATGGCAAAACAGAACACTTGCCTCTTCATAATATCCCCTCACGATCAAAACTTTTGTGATCTTTAATTTTTATAGTGTGTGTTATTGTCCTATCTCCACACTAATGTAGGTGTATGCTTATAGACATTTTTGGGCTTAACAATGTCTATTGTTTGGCTGATTGTATTATAAGATTGCGAAGTTTTTGCCAATATTTCATAGGTCATGATGGTCGAGATTGTTAAAGCGTTACCCACTTTTGCGTTATCGAGTCAGAAACAGTGTTGGTTTGAATTTAGTTTGGATAAATTAAAATTAATTCTATTTTTATGAACACACAGAATCTCTCAAACATTTCACTCTGACTAGAAAAGTTTGGTTACCTGTATGATAATCTGTCCTTCCTTTCCTAGTTGGAGAGCAAAAGGATGTTAAGCCCAAAAAAAAAAAAAAAACGACTTTGCAGTCATTGTTAGATTATTGTGAACCTAGTCCACCTCATGATGGTATGGTTAACTTTGGCCTTGTCTAAAATGTTTTTACGGAATCAAGCACTCATTCAAACAAACAAGGGGCCACATATTACTTTCACTTAGCTATATATGTAATATATAATAAGAAAAAGTGTTGCGATCGTGAAAATTTTCAAATCTCAGATTTCAACAGAAAATGCACGTTTTAAGGTTCCCTGAGTCGAAATAACCAAGTCCCACAAAATGGTCAGTGTGTGTGTGTATGTTAACAGTCTAGATCAAAAATGAAAAGTCATAAAAAACTGATATTACATATTTAAGATAGGTGTATTCACGAAATGTTACAACAATTTTACTCATTTTTACAATTTTCTCAAAAGCGGCTCTAACGATTTTGCTTAAACCAGGCTGTTCAGTACATTTAGTTGTCCATTGGCCCGATAAAAATTAAGCACAATCAGAATCAGTGCATTATTAAGTGTTCTTTAAGATCAGCTAGGTGTTATCCACATTGATGGAAATAATAGTCAGAAAATATACATATAATATATCATGGGAAAGCGACGAATTTTATAAAAAACAATATCTAATATAGAAAGTCGTAGAAGGTAATCAAGAGTGACAAAAAATTATGATTAATATTTTCTTAAAACTGATATTATTTAACAGAAACCACATGTTTCCAATGAAATAAAATGAAATTTCTCAACTAAATTTGAACATTTAAATTATTTTTAAGTTTGAAAAAAGGCTATAAAATCCACCGAATCAAGGCAGTGACATTGTTAAAAAAAGTATTTCATTGAAGTTGTGTGAAAGAAGAAGTAAAATATAAATATATTTCATAGATGGGTAAAACATATGTTTATAACCTTTAATAAATTTACTGTATTTTAATAACTCTAAATCCAATATTATATTTAAACACGTTTACATCATCAATTTATTAAAAAAAAAAACCTTTGTAAAATAAAATTATACACTTACATTCAGTGTTACGACTTACAACTTATCGATGGTGTATTTAACAACAAATAACTTTTTTTTTGGTAAATTTTCCAAGGGTAAAAAATAAGAATTTAAAAAGTGGTAGAGATTTAATTTCTATAATTTTTATTGTGTAGTATTACCTTACTTAATCAAAATTAAATACATGTACATTCAAATCTCTCTTTGTTTTTAAAGCTCAGAGACTGGAGTTATGTGATTCAAATAGACTTATGCTGTTATAAGGTTTTTATTGCCTATAATGGATATAATAAATAGGGTTTATGTTATTTTGATGGTCTTAAGGAGTTTTTGCATTGATAAATCTGTCCAAAAATCAAAAATATATTGTTCGAGGTTTAGGTCCATTAAAAATGCACTTTAAAAACTTGTAATAGCCCAATTTTTTCAGACAAGAATTTCTTTATGAATCAGAGCAGTACGTGAAAGTGAAGTGTGTTGCATACCAGATTTTTTGTTATTATAATTAACTATCAGCTTGTTCAATTATAAATTAAAATGATTTCCTATAATTTGTATTATTGTCACTGTCGGTCATGATTTCTTTCCACTTATCACTTCCACAAGTCAAATGAATTTTAAAATAACTGATTAGTATATAATTAAGTTTTTGTTTTAACATGATTGCACATAAGATCGTTCTAATCTGATACTGATTGTATAATTGGTAATTGGTTGACTGTCGTGGATAATGAAGAGAAGAATAGTTGGGGTGGTCAGTCAAAAAGAAAGGCAAAAATAAATGATAATATTTATTTTTACATATGCTGACGTTTCGACCTGAAGTTCAGGCCTTCATCAGGGCTAAGATCTTAGATAAGATCTGAACTTCAGGTCGAAACGTCGGCATATGTAAAAATAAATATTATCATTTATTTTTGCCTTCCTTTTTGACTGACCACCCCAACGATACTGATTGTACTATTCTTTAAACTAATTTCTCTTGAAGACTATTGAAACCTTAAAAGATAAATTTTCAATTTTATTAGTTGATTTTAAACTTGTATTGCTAACATTTGGTAACTGTGAGCTAATATCATATTTGGGAATGATAGTATGGCTATAATATACACAAGTATATAATAAAGATATTTAAATTCAAAAAAATTTTTAAATGTTAATTTTAATGTTTTAGGTGTGCTTAAACCAGGCTGTTCAGTACATTTAGTTGTCCATTGGCCCGATAAAAATGAAGCACAATCAGAACCTTCAATTAAGCTGCGTTTGCAGCCTAAAGGAATGAAAGACTTTGTAGATATAGAAGGCACTACTCCTTTGAAAAAGCTTACTAACGCTATGGTTAAAAAAAACATGTGGTCATAAAATATAACACAATAGCTAGTATTTAATGAATCCAAAGATCAGTAATTGTTTTTTATATATACATATTTAAAGAAACAAATGTACATTAGAAATAAAATAATTTATTAGTAGACCATTCTTTTTAAAATGTGTTAAAATAATTCACATTATATCTAGACAATAAACATTGTCATCTCTGCAGCCAACAATAATCTTTCCATTGATTACTATTGGTGAAGAAAATACTTCACCAGGTAAAGAATAATGTGACAATTTTTCTCCATTATTAATGTTCAAAATAAATAATTCCCCTTTAGTCGTAATGCATACAACAAATCCTCTAGAAGATGTAGGATAAAATTCAACAAATGGTGTCGACACTATCCTATCATGAAGAAATGTTTTCCAATGAAGTCCTCTATCTTTCAAACAGTACACATATCCATCATTACACCCAAAGATTGTTATTTCATCTTTGTTGATAATAGATTTTACTAAAGATGAAAAAATAATATCATCAGTTTTAAATACGTGTTCCTGAAAATAAAAATTGTATTCATTATTTTTGGCTATCTTAGAAACAATTAAGTTATTGTTATAGTAATTTTTAATGTTATAATAATACTTCTAATCCATTGTTAATGTTGAGCCATTGAACACGTCCTGTGACATCTGCCACTATTAAATAGGAATCATTCAATACCGGAGTAGAAAATATAGGGTCGTGGTTTAGTTCCCATAATAATTGTCCAGTGCTTGAGTTTAAAACAGCAATGCTTCCAAGTGTAGTGCTATATACATGATTATTATGCAACACTGGATCTGCCAATATAGGACTTCTCAGGAGTGTCTTCCACTTCAAGGACCCACACTGAAATTTTTTTTAAAAGTTAGATATTAAGAATATATAACAGCGTTAATTATGTGAAAAATTATTTTAACTAAAAAATTTTGCATTAAAAAAAATATATATATTCCAAAATATCATGTATGAATAAATGCAGGTATGGGCAAATTTCATTTTAGGTATGAATAAATAAATTTTCATTCATTATTTGTGAGTAAAATCAAAATTGAATTATGGAAATAAAATTTTATTGCGGGCTTTCGATCGAGTCTGGCCCCCAGGACTGCTTTACAAACTCCGTAAATTCCTATACCTTACATACTTCCTCATTATCCGTTCCTATCTATGTGATAGATCCTTCAAAGTAAATCATAATAATGCCTATTCATCCCTTTTTTCCCAGCCCGCTGGTGTTCCTTAAGGTAGTATCCTAGGTCATATCCTTTACACAGTTTATACAACTGATATCCTAACACTGTCATAACCAGGTATGCCAATGATACATGTGTCCTATCAGTTAATAACGACCAAACAATTGCATCCCAAACCCTTCAATCACACATCACAAACCTTGAAGAATGGTGTCAAAACTGGAGGATAAAAATAAATTCCAATAAATCCCATCAAATCACCTTTACCCTTCATCGTAAACCTATGTCCTACAGTATCCTTTAATAATACCCCACTTATCCCTGTTGAACAAATTTGATACCTTGGATTCCACTTAGACAAACGTCTAACTTAGAATCCTCATACCAGACTGAAACGACAAAAAACAGCTCGACATTTCCGACTACTCCAGCACTTACTAGACAAATGCTCTAAGCTCGCAGTCAGTTACAAAAGACTCATATACATGACTACAATAAGACCTATTTGGACTTACGGAGTTGAGCTCTGGGGCTCCACTAAGCCATCGAATTCCTCTCGTATCCAATCCTTACAATCCAAAATCTTTCCTAAAACCATCACTGCTCCTTGCTTTGTCACAAATAAAATCATCCATAACGACCTTAATGTTCCTTATGTTTCTGATCTGGCCGAATCCAGACACCTATCCTTCCATAACAAACTTCAGAACCATCCAAACCCTCTCGTTTCTAACCTTGCTTCCTCTTCGATTTCTGACAACCCTCCGAGGTGTTTGAAAAGAAGATGGCCTCGAGATCTCCTTTTTACAGTGCTACCAGTGGGTAGTTTCTCAACAAGTGATTTCATGTTATTATATTCTTTTTTTCACATTTACTGAATGTATTTTTATTTGTAATACAGTTGTAAATATCATCAATAAAAAAATTTATTGCAGGGAGATGATCAGGCCATGATCATGCTCAATTACCAGGTTTTTCCTCTTAATCAATTATTTAATTAAGAGTATCCACTTTATAGAGGTTGGGTGTGCCTCAGGAGAGTCTCCTGACCCCAGGGGTCAATCCACTGCAGATGAAAAATTACCTGTTATCAGCCGTAATCAAAACTGGGGTCTTAAGCTTAGCAACCCAGTATCTTATTCACTGAGCTACTCTGCTCTCTTTAATCATATGCATAAGGAATAACATATATTTATTAAAAGATTAACATCCAGAAAAATGTCATTTGATTAATTATTTAAAATTATAAATTTTACAAAAGAATGAAGATCTTGTTTTTCAAATGAAATAATAGTTATGTAATCATTAATCGCTCATTATTGATAATTGTCCATAAACATAAATTCATACTGGTCCATCACAAGCACCGCAGCAACTTCATTATTTTCACCTAATCTTTTGCCCAAATCTTATCCATAGTTGCTAGGGTTGTTATAGTTGTGCTTAAAAGTTCTGACAAGAAGATCATAGAAACATTAATTAAAAAAAAAAAAAACAGCCTTTTTTTTGTCCAGTTATATTCTTCTGGAAGAAATATTGTTTTATTTATATTAGATATTTTTATGGAAAATAAAACAACTATCTACAATTATTTTTCTCAAGAACACTTATACAGTGCTTAAATATAATAATCTGTTGCTAGAAAAAGTAAAGAAACCTTAATTAGTGGTGCCTAACCATAGAATAAGTAAACAAGTGTAATCTTCAGCATGACCCCTGCAATGAACAAGCACCATAGATGCTCCAAAAGTTAAAATACTGATTAATCTTCATTATCGTTATTTGTTAATTTAATTAATTGTTATTTCATTAATAGAAGTAATAGAAAAATTACCTCTGATAAGCAATACATTTTTCGGTCATACGATCCAAATATTATGCAATCTTCAAATATTAAACATGCACTTTTAACCATATCTTCTGTTTTGAATTTCCAAATAATTTTTCCAGATTTATAGGACACAGCATAAACACATCCATCATAACAACCTATATTGCAAAATATAAATTGTTTTTCAAAATATGTTTTAATATAATTAAAGTTATTTAAATTTGTTTACATTAAATTTCATTTTAGGCATTAAAATTTAGTTAGTATATGTGAGGGTCAAGAGATCAAAATAAAAATCTTACAATCAATCTTTTTTTGTTATTTTAAAATATAACCACAATAAAAAGAATCAATAAGCTTAAAAAAATATTAACAAAAACAACATACTAAGAATAGGCCAAATCTGAAACATTAGATAATTGAATCAGACATCTGATGTGCTATTAAGAAATGTAACATTATTTATTTAATTTGACCTGAATGTATCTCGCTAATTAATGATGAAATAAATGAAAAAGTATAGTTTTCTCATAAAATACTTACCAATATAATAAATCTCAGCATTCAGGGAGATGCATGCCGATGATTCAACACGATCTGGTAATATACATTCAGATATCAATTTTCCATAATTAATGTCCAAAACAACAACCCTTCCACTGTGTGATCCAATAATACAAAATTTTTCTCCACTAATATAACAAATAATGACAAAATTAATAATTATTTAATTTTCTAATAAATAACAGTAATTTAAAGATACAATAATACCTAGTAAGTTCAATACCTAAAGGTGAAGCATCAATACACTTTCCAAGGTTTAGTTTCCATCTTTCCATCAATTGAATATCAGTTGGAATGATGACATCATCTGATATAAAATTTCCAAAAAACGTGATTTTTCCTTTCAGAAGTAGTTTAGAAATATTTTTTGTTCTGGATTTTGTTATTTCATTACAAAAGTTAGTTATCATCATTGTTTGCTCCTTGGAGGAACAATTTCCTGAAATATTAAAGTAAATAAAACATTGGAGATCAATTGTTTCAAAAAGTTATAAAATAATGTTAGAGTTTACCTCGATAATCTGCCAAGTAAGTCCAAAGTTCATCACAAGTTTTCTTTTGTAGAATCATTCCAAGCATTGTATCAGGGATATCATTAAAATTTTGTTTCAATTCTGCTACTAATTGTAATGCCATCAAGGAGTCACCTCCATCAGAAAAAAAGTCATTGAAACCCGATGCATTCTCTGAGCTGTAATGCCTCCACATTTCACAAAATGTCTCTTTGCTTTTTGCTTTTTTCTCTTCTAATAACATTTTATTTAATGAACGAACACATATCTTTCCTAGAAAATAAAAAGAACTTTAGAAATAATTTAATTTGTACATTTGAAACAAGTTTTTTACATTAAAAAAAAAAATTACCATGGGTGGTTAGTGGGAAAGAGTCAAGTGCTGTAATGGAATCAGGCCATGAGGCTCTGGGTAAAGATTTTTTTAAAAAACATTTTAAATCCTTCAAATCAGAACTATTTTTTTCCATGATAAATAATCCAATTCTTATATGGTGATTAATTTTGCATGTCACACAAACACAAGCTATTACATTATCATGTAATTTAACACATTCTTCAATGGAAGATGTACTGAACTTGGTTCCCCAACGTTTTAAAATATCATCTTTTCTCCTTTTGAAGAATAACTTTCCATTCACTTTCTGTTTAAAGAAAAATAGTCAATTGATAAAATTTATTAATATTTATTTGATTTTCAATTTAATGCTTTTTAAGTAGTAAGTATTTTTCCTTCAAATGTAATTCCTTTTATTTCTATCAAACACATCAAGAATTTCCTTCATGATGACTATAACTATGGCCTTATAAAAACTCAACTAAACTTAAGAGTTTGTATAATCCTATTAGGACTAATACTTCTGGTAACTAAATAGTTTATTTTAGATGACATTGGGATTCATGCTCAGTTCCACCAGACCTATTTATTTATTTATTTTTTCTAATTTATTTTTAATTGTTCAATTAATAATTGTTAGATGGATTAACCTTCACTACCTTCTATTGCTTGTACCTATTGGTTAACATTGTAAAATAAACAAATAAATTAAAAACAAAAATTATTTCCTCAGTTCAATATCAATTTTTACTTGCGGCACAACAATGTTCGCTTCACCAGTTAATACCGTCACACATGTGTAAGTACATAAAAAGTATTAAACTGAAAATCAAATGTGAGAATATGTGTGTGTGGGAATTTTGTATCATTAATAACAAAATAAACTTGTAACTAACCTTAAAAATGTCTCCCGTTGCCCTAAACAAGATCTTATCATTGTTACACACTGTCTCACAAGCCTCATCATTGATCAAACATTTTCTTGTTTTACTACCTAAAAATTGGTGGCATATAACAGAATTTAAAAATTAGAATATGTTTTTAAATAAACAAGCATTACAGTCTTGATGAGAAATCAGATTTTGATAAAAAATCTCAGAGAATGGGAGATTCACAAAAATAATAAGTTGGTATGTAGAGTGCTTTCATAAACGTAACTGAACATTATAATAATAATTTAATGTAACATTATTTAGAAGCTTGTTTAAAATAACTTAAACCAATAAAAGAAAATGAAGAGTTCCCTAAGAAATAATTCAGGTATTTTTTCATTCACGAAAAAAAAAATATATATATTTTTTTTTTGTTTTGTTTAGATTTAGAAAAACAGTATAATCTATAATTATGATAATATTGTCTTTCCTACCGTCAACAAAGTTGCTGATATACAAGAAATGAGGAAATGTCTGCTATTAGTAGAGGATAAAATATAGGTTATTTAGTAAGACATACCAATAAATAATTCTCCCTCATTTTTGTTATCAGTTTCTAATTTAAATAATGTTTCAGATAAAGGTGTTCCAATATCAACTTCAATTTTTTTAGCAGGCCAAACCTGTTTTAATGATGCCCAACAAGAAACTTCAGTGATACCATAGATATTATAAATATTGATATTTTTAGTAAGATCCCATGATTTAAGTTCATTTATGCTCGGAAATTCTTCACCACCTGAAAACAAAAGTAGATATTCAAGGGAAGTGCAAAATTATGTAAAAAAAAATCAAATGATTTTATGGTATGATAAAAGTCTTTGTGAGTAAACGAATGATATATTTTTTTTGTTTCAAATTAAATAAACTTAGTTGATAGTGCTACATATTTAATTTGCATTTTTCTACTGCCATTCTTGTAGCTTCTTCAACGTTAGTCTTCCTTTTCTTTTTAATTCTAATTTCCTCAAAGCAACACATACACAAAAAATTATAATGGCTATAAAAAAGAGCTGACATACTGCAGCGGACAATATTCCTTTATATAATCACAAAGTTAGTTTAAAATTTATTAATTAAAATGAAAATTAATGAAGAACTGAATAGAAATCAACAAATGTAGAGTATTGATAAAAGAACCAAGAGAGCATTTAAAATATTAATAAAACTAAATGTACCTAAAATCAAATTTTTTAACACTGATTGCTCAGTAAAAATTCTTTTTTGTAAGATTGATGTATTCCATCTCCTGAAGAGAGACGGTGTGGTCTGTAATATTGTAACCAAACCTCCTGAGGCAGGAAATAAAATATCCAATAACAAGTCTGGATTTTGTTTAACATATTTCTCAACAATACATAAGGAAGCTCCATTCATCAATGGCAAAAATAATTCTATAACTGATGGATCAAATGTAATGGGTGTCATTAACGTGAATACATCTGTATTGCTGACTTGTAGAATAGCACTGAAACAATTCAATAATAGTAAAATTAGCCAGTTTAAAAATAAATAAAATGATAGAAACATTCATAAAGGAATTGAGAGTGAAGTAAGTTCCATAACATATTAGTTACTATTATAAAAAACAATTAGTGATTTTAAGATAATATAACTTTGGACATCTTCATCAATTAAATACATAAATAACACACATATAAGGAAAAATGCCTACTTTCAGAACTCACTATGTGAAATAAAAATTTTCTTAATGTTAATGAGAGAGAGAGAAATACTTTATTTAAAGCAGTGCTGCCCTACTATATAGGGTTGCTCGATACACAGCATACTCATCAATCCTATTTTTTTTTTGGACATACAAATTATATACAAATTCTTTTTCCTATTAACAACACAAAAAATATCAATACTATAATATACTAATACATACAATTAGAATTATACAATATATTATATATACATATTTTGGTGAAACCGATATAAGACAATGTCCAAAATTTATGGGGCTAAAAAAAAAATATATATATATATATATATATATAGTATTCGAACGCCAAAGTTTTAACACCAGAAAATTAGAACACACACACAGCAAGTAACATAGACAAAAAGATATGATCACTTAAATAATTTAAAATTTAATAAATAAATAAATAACGATAATCAACCCCTAATTACCATATATGTGATGATGAATGATCCCAAGGGAGTCCAGAATAATGCTCTCGGCCAACACTGCAAGCTCCTCGACATCAACACCAAGTTCCTCGAAGAAGCTCCCTGTTCTTTTAGGAATCATTCTGCGAGACCCAAACCAGAGGCCCCTTACTGTGAACTCTCTCTCTTTCTCCGAAGGTCTCACGGAATTTCTCTTTTAAGAAAGGAATGCATTTCTCATAGATTTCCTTCTTTTCTCTTTCTATTTCATTGGCTTCATCGAGGTTGTTGCTTCACTTGAATACGAATAAACTGACGTGGAGGAGAGAAAAGTGAAAGTGTTTATTGTTTCCAATAAAATTACAACACAATGTGTATCACCAGAAAGCTAATTTTTCTGTTTCTTTGTGTCTAATGGGATAAATTATGTGTCTAGAGTGATGAATATTCCTTTATAAACTGGAGTTGACACACAAAAATTAAACCTGCACCTGTGACTATTCCAAACATTCAATTGCATCTTTCCAAAAATATGATTTTTGCACTTAACCCACTATTCACAGGTGCCACAGATATTTTTGAATATGCACCTTGTTCCATTTTTAAACTTCCGTAAGTAGAGGGAAATTTAGTTAGCAGACCTGCACACCTCAAGATCTACAAAAAAGATCATATGACCAATGGGCCAATTTTCAGCCGAACAGTAGAAAATCCAAGTTTTGTGTTTTTTAAGAGAGTCATGTTTTTTGTTGAGTAGGAAGTGATAACTAAAGAAATATTTAATTTAAGTAATAATTAATTACTTCACTCTAAACTAGACAAAATTTAGTTTAATTAAAAAGAGAGTTTGTCATTATTAAAACCATTTATAGAGGACATTTGAGCGGTTAAACTGAGTTAAGTTCTGTTTTTAAAAAAATCATAAATTATTCGTGTTTTTTTTACCATCATCCTCCTTTTAGAAAAACCACCTCGTTTAATAAGATTTAAGTTTATATTTATTAAACTGAGGTTTATTAGACGAAAACTTGAGATTCATCTCAAGTTGTGTAAAGAAATGGTATGATTTCCTATCCAGTCTCCTGAAAGAACCCCTGTTTTCAGCAAACATGACTAAAATTAACTGTTGAAAAGCTTTTATTTCTTGTTTTTCCATGATCTGGGATTATTATAATAAAAATAATTGCCTAAATATATATTTTATTTATACATACATACATAGTTGGCACAACAATCCATTAACAGGTAAAGGCCTCCTCCATAAGTCTCCGACAGTTGGCTCGCGCCAACTGTTTATATCGCTGGAATAACCAGCTCTCCAGTTCCTAGAGCTGAGGAGATTGTGTGTGTGCGCTATAATGGAGTCAGCCCACCTCACATGTGGCCTACCCACTCTTTGCTTTTCATGAAGCTCTTCGTCCAATGTCCTCTTAGGAATCTCGTCCTCCTTCATCCTTGACTCGTGGCCCATCCATCGGAGTCTCCCAATCTTGATCCACTTGATGATATCAGGATCTCTGTACAGCCTTGAAAGTTCCTGGTTCTTCCTCCTTTTCCAGGGGTCTCCCTCTCTAACCGGGCCAAAAATTCTTCTCAATATCTTCCGTTCAAACACGAGACTAAGGTTCTCACTGGCTCTAGTGAAGGCCCAGGTCTCTGACCCATACGTAAGAACCAGATGAATTAGGATCTTATATAGGCCAATCTTGGTCTTGTTGGAGAGGTGTCTGTTCTTGAAGTATTTTGATAGCTTCGATTGGCTGCAGCGATTCTCCGGTTGTTCTCCTGGGAAAGGTCATTTGGAGAGTTTATTTCTGAGTCCAGGTATACGAAACTTTACACCCTTTCAAATCTGTATGGTCTAACCGCCTGTATGCCGTATAGTCCTGAGGCTTTGTTGTTTTTCAGCTTCATAACGGCCGCCAAGACTTCATCCTCGTCTGGTGGTTCTGCATCGTTTGGGAGATCTTAATTAATATAAACTTAAATCTTATTAAACGAGGTAGTTTTTCTAAAAGTGGGGTAACTGAAGAATAGTTGGATGATGATAAAAAAAAAGCGTGAATAATTTATGAATTTTTATAAACAGAACTTCACTTAGTTTAGCCACTCAAATGTTCTCTTTAAATGGTGTTAATAAAGACAATCTCTATTTTTAATTAAAGTAATTTTTGTCTAGTTTATAATAAAATAATTATTAATTACTTAAATTGAATATTTCTTTAGTTATTGCTAGTTATTCATCAAAAACATGACTCTTTAAAAAAACACAAAACTTGTATTTCCTACTTTTCTGCTGAAAATTGGCCCATTGTTTATATGATATTTTTTGTAGGTGTAGTCTGCTATCACTTCTATCAAAATTTCCCTCTATTTAAAGAATACCGTTTATAAGACGACTCACCATACAAAAAATGTAGACAAAGTTGAACTGCATCAGGGAAACGTAATGAAGTAAATCAAACAAAAAGTTTAAATCATGTATCACTGGGAACGATGATGAAAGCCAGTAAATTAATTTTTATAATGAAGCATAGATTTTAAATTTATCATTAAAATAATGTCAGTTGAAAATCATTGTTAAACTTACTTAAGAATTAATATTTTGTATCATCTGTGGATTGCTTCTGGGATCAGGACAACCTCTCAAGGCATATCTCTACTAAGTGAGGACATGACTCTGCAAAGGGTGGAAGAAAATATCTGGCAGGTGAGTTTAATGTTGATTGGCAACATAATCTGCTGATGCAACCATTGCACACCAAAAGAGGAGCAAATTAAACAAAATACTATGGACAGCTTTGCTGCAAGTCAGCAGGATGAACTAGAGAGTAACCGACGGCGATCTTCATTTAAGAGGAAGAGTTACTTATTGATCCCTGTGGGAAGAAATGATGAAATATACTTCTTCTTCTTTTATTGGTACAACAGAAGCATGAAGCTGCCCTTGACCTGCTTAACAGTCTTCAACCATCTCTCTTTATCTTCTGTAAGGGTAACAGGGATCGTCAGTTGTCGCAGATCCTGCCCCACAGCATCTCTCCATCGACCGGCCCTTTGGTCAATCACGTCGGCGCACACTATCCAGAACGTTAATGTACAATTTATGAGTAATTCTTTCCTCATCCTCATAACATGAACAAGACCCTTAAGCCTCTTGGATTTCCTGACATACAAGGAGATGCTACATTCCTTGTAGAACCTAAAGAGTTCACTATTTTTTTTTCTTCGCTAATTACCATTCTTGTATAAGGGCGCTAAGATTCTCCTTAGAATTACCCTTTCAAATCTGTTCAGGTTGTTTTTATTGCTTAGGGCTCACGTTTCTGCACGGTATGTGAAGACTGGCCTTATCAGCATGAACTTGGTGATACGGCTAAGAAACTTGCTTATGATTAGCCTTAAAATGGAAAAATAGGCTCTATTTCCTGCTGCAATTCTGCTTTTAACCTCTTCTTCTTCATTCTGATTATCGTTGACGATAGAGCCAAGGTAAGAAAAGCTTCTGACCGCTTTGAAATTGTAGGGGTACATTACAAAGCAAATCTCTCTGATCCTGTGACTTCTTACCCATAATCTCCGTCTTCTCCCCAATAATATATAGGTCCATCTTTTCTGCTTCACCATCCATTATTTTGAAAACCATTCTAATGCTCTGAATGGATCAACCAATAATGACGAAGTCGTCTGCATAGGTCAGAACTTGGGTGATTTTTAAAAATATTGTTCCTTTCTGATTTAGTCCTGCTATATTTAAGATTGCTAGTCGAGTGACATTAAACAGAAGAGGAGCTTATTAGGTCTCCCTCTCTTAAGTCACTTTCGACTGCAAAAGGCCCTGATAACTCACAGAATTTTACTCGGCAGATCCTGCTCACCATTAGGATTTATACTAATCGAGTTAGTTTACTAGGCAGCCCCAGTTCATGCATGGCTAATATGATTTCACTGCTTACAATTGTATCATAGGCAGTCCGAAAATCAATGAACAGCATCCAACTTGTCTACTGATATTCTTTTATCTTCTCAGAGATTTGCCTCAGGATGAAAATTTGATCAATAGTAGACCTGTTGGGCCTGAAACCACCTTGATAATCAACCAGTATCTGTTCAACATACGGAAGGAGGCAGTTGTAAAAGGATATGGAAAAACTTTTATATGAAATTTACATTCAAGAAAAAGAAGTCAACAGGTCTGCTAGTAAATCTTCAGTAAAGAATTGAAGAGAACACTGACAAAATCATCATCAAATGAAAGGATACTATGGAAGAGAAGAACCAGCTATACAGACATGCATTCCCGCCAACATCCATTTTGAAATCGTGAGATAGGATATAAAAAAGACCACAAATCAATACTTCATTATCATGTACTTCACGGGTTATTTATATATATATATATATATATTAACTAATTTCCATAGATATAACCATTTTTTAAAATAAATATTGTAAATAAAACGAAACAAAAGTAATCTAATTATCAATTTCTAAAAATGCAAGGCCAAATAAGAAATTTCAGTTAAATTGACACAATAATTAAGAAAAGGATTTGTGGCCCATGAAATGAATGAATTACTACAGATTGTAACTATCAATAAAAAAAAAAATAGGCAAACAAAAAAAAAACTATTAATCTGTATAATTTAAAACGAAAACTAAACTTACTTCACTCATTCAAAATTCCAATGCAAAATATAAATCATCACCTTAAGTCTCTGAGATTAGGAAAAATGCACTCATGCAACACCTGCACAGTCTTTGCTTTCCCAGTTGTTCCTGAAGTTTTTAGAGCATAGATAAATGATATTTTATCAAATTTGTTGTCATGACCTGAAGACATGTATAAATAAATATTGGCATATTAAAATATACAAAATACATATTGGCTAGTTCCTTACATGTCATCCATAATCCCACTGTTTCTCCATGAATAAACAAGCTTCCTTCAAATTTGGAAAACAAACAAAATGATGTTTGGTGAGATTTATCAAAGTATATATTTGAAAGAATATACTTAAAGGAATTCTCACGGATATATTCATTGATAGTATCACTGTCATCAGGGTCAATACATAAAAAACCAAGACCAGCATTAAGAACACTAAAATAAACAATGAAATTGTAAATTGAGAATTACAACTCACAAGTTTTTAAAATAAGATTGTTTCCTTTACCCAAGAACTATAGAAGGATAAGTAACAGTAATGTTTAAATGAAGTAACACATATGTTGTTTCATTTTCTGACAATTTTTCTTTCAATAAACATCGGATTTCGTTAACTGCATCCTTGATGCCAGCATATGATACATCAGACCAACTATTACCATCATAATAAGTAACAGCCCTTTTACTTAAATTAGAATTAATACTCTCATTAATAAGTGTCACAAGAGGAAATCTCATTTCCAGGATATATGCATGATATGGGATCAGTAATAATATATGTGCATTTGAAATTTATTTAATAACACTCAAAATGTGCTTTAAATTAATACCATTGATATCAAACCTTAACAACTGATTACAACCACTTGTTTACAGTGTCAAGAAAGGTTACAAATATAGGATAAAGCATGTTTTTATACTACTGCTACTACATATCGTTCTTAAAAAATTGAAATCGAGTTTTGAATCATTATTTCTTTTATAAACAATTTTATATTTTCTATCTTTTTGTCATTATATCCATACCTCGTGTAACTTAATTTTATAATTATTTTTTATTTCGGAATAATTATATCAATTCCATTACACCCATATGTCAATTTGGATGGATTAGAAGTGAATTGATTCATGGAGGCTCTATCGATTATTAGACGAAAAAAGAATAACCTCTCCTTGTAGAGTTAAGGTGCTTCTCGGTCCGTGGTGAAAGATATATTTCTGTTTGTATTTAGAAATGATTTCAATATCCTTTTCTTTTAGACATTAATATTTAAAAGGCTAAAAAAATGGTCATGGGGACCGCAGAAATTTGTTCGATTGCGGATGTTATCTTTATTATAGAAGGTACGGCTATTAATGGTGCCTACTTAAATGATATGAAGACCAACTATATTATTCCTACGTTAGAGTAAGTATTATAAAATCTGTTCTCAAAAATACTAATTATGTGCATATTCTCATATTTTGAATTGTTTAAAGGTATTTTAATCAAGGATCATTGGAAGAGAGAGATTATGTCTGTGAGGTATTTGAAAGTTTATTTTATTTAACATTAATTATTTTTATATTTTCTTCACCAGTGTAATGTGTTTGACATAAAATGTTTGAAATATACAACTAGTAACATATTTTTCATCTTACATGTGAAAATTATTCCCAATATTGGTTTTCCACCCTTTACAGAGTACCAGTGCCCTGTATGGTGTTATAATTTATCATGCTGCTGACAGACTTCCAAGCTCTTGCACAGATATATATGGCCCCTACTCTAATCCTCATCGAGTTTTACAAGTTCTTGATAAGATTGAGTAAGTTTTCAAAAAAATTCAAATTTTATTAGTTAAATAAAATCATTTATTTTTTATGAATGTCTTTTGTTCATAGACTCATTGGAGGGCGAGGTGAGTCAAATGCAAATGTTGCTGAAGGATTTGCTGCTAGTTTGGTATGTTTAGATGATTTACAACTGAGAAGAGAAAATGGAGCAAATCCTCAAAAGCATTGTATTCTTATTTGTAATTCTCCTCCGTACATGATGCCTGTGATAGAAAATCAGTCCTATATAGGAAATACTGCTGAACAGTTAGCAACTCTTTTTAGCGAAGTATTTGTTTTTATATTGTTAATGATATTATTGTGTAATGTATTAGTATAGTGGTAATTTTTTTTTTTTTTTTTTTTTTTTTTTTTTAGAAAAATGTTCACCTATCAATTATATCACCAAGAAAAATACCACTCATGTTCAAGCTTTTTGAAAAAGCTGGAGGAGATCTCACAACATCTCAGACCAAAAATTATGCTAAGGATCCTAGACATTTAGTTTTACTGAAAGGTTTTAGGTATACTTGGCTCAGCTTACCTTTTATTCTTAAATTAAATAAAGTACCTTTTAATAATTAAATTTATTCTTATTAGTTTACCCAGTCTAAAAGAACGACCTGTGAGCCCGACCAGTGCTAGTGCTGCTGCACAGCATAACTTGAATGTACAGTTATCAAGTCCACTTCCTTCTCATGGAAGTCCTATGTCTACACCTGCCCAACCACAACCACCTCAGCCTAATCAGGCAGCACCAACAATACTTCAGGTAATTGACTGCACTTTAGAATGCTTGGTAACATTGGTGTGGAAAAATGCACATTTTAATTAATTTAATTATCACATTAATTTCCTTTGTTATTATGATATTGTAAATATTATATATTAAGTAATTTATCTATCTATCTACTTGGCATTACAACCCTGGGTGGGTCTTGGCCTCCTCAATGAGCCACCACCATTCGGTCCGATTATGTGCCACCACTTTTCAGCTTCTAATCCATAGCAGGCATCCGCTGCCACTCCATCAACCAATCGAAGCTTTGGCCTACCAGTCTGTTGTATACCGTGAAGGTTAGTGTCCACTAATGTTTTAGGAATTTCTTCTGCTTCCATCCTTGTGACATGGCCAGCCCAACGATCCTCCCCAGTTTTATAAACTTTACATTGTCCATATCTCCGAAAAGATCATAAAGATCCTTGTTCCTCCATCTGTTACTGGGAAAACTATTCGCCATAAGATTTTTCTATCAAAAGTTAAAAGACTATTTTCATGATTTCTTGAGATGGTCCAGGATTGGGAAGCACAGTTAAGAACTGGGTGTATAAGAGTCTTGTATATGACCGGTTTAGTCCCCCTGGTAATGGATCTACTGCGGAGAGTTTTCAGTAAGACAAAATCTGCTCTATTTGCCACCACTAGCCTTTTCCTTATCTCAGCATAGACATCGTTTATTGGTGTCACTAGGGATCCCAAATATGTAAACTCCTTCATCCTTTTGAATGTGTTAGGGCCCACAATCAGTGCCTCGTTTCCACCAGTCCTTGTGTGCATATATTTTATTTTACTCTCGTTTATGGCCAACCCTATGGATGAAGTAGCGTTCAAGAGTTTCCCAAAGGCTTCTACCAATGCCGATCAGGTCCTGACCACAATATCCAGGTCATCAGCTTATTCCAATATCTGTACAGTACAGATGAATATCGTGTGGTCTGTCTGAATCCTATACAGCTTTCTCCAGTGCATGATTGAAGAGGAGACAGGTCAGTTCTATCCCGTGGAGGCCTTTTCCAGTTGGTCCCAGACATCCTGTACACTTTCGACATCAGCTATTCTGAGCCTGTCTCTCACTAATTCTTCCATTTTCTGGTAAATGCTTGGCAGCTTTCTGGATTTTTCAGCTTTCCGATGTTCCACCTTTTGGCCCTTTCAGTCCTGTAGCTCCTGATGGTGGCAATCCTGTTCTAATTCTTGATATTATAAGCTAATGGTCGGAGTCAACTTTTGTTCCCCTGTAAGTCCTACTACTAGGAGATTGGATTTGTTATGAGTAACGCCATCGGGTGATTTCCATGTAACCTTATAAATGCGCCACCCTGGGAACAGAGTACTCCCAACTACTAGATTTCTCGATGCTGTGAAATCAATGACCCTCTTGCCGTTTTCATTGCTTCCCTCATGCAAACTGAATGAGCCAATCATGGGTTTATATGCATCTTCTCTTCCAATCATTCCATTGAAATCCTCCAGTAAGATTTTGATACCGGAGAAATAAAAAAAGCAGAATAAAAGTCTGTTAACAAAAGATAATATTTTTTTAATTTTAATAGTGGTTAAATAGTTGACCATCATGAATAATGAGAAGAAGAATAGTTGGGGTGATCAGTCAAATAAGAAGGCTAAATAAATGATAATATTTATTTTGTCTTTTGCTGACGTTTCGACCTGAAGTTCAGGCCAAGAAAAGAACCAGATAACAAGGTATGAGAAACATAAAAATTACAGTAAAATGCAGTTGTTAGAATAATGACGATAGTAAGAACAAGAGACAAATAATAATACCAGGTACAAAGTGTGGAATGATGGAGTGGTGACTCTGAACACCAAGAAAGTTTTCTAGTTATGGTACTACTAGAAAAATAACTGGTTGAATATAAAATGGTTAACCGACATTTATCATCACATAGCAGGGTTATAGCTGTGACATCCTGCTAACCATCAAAAAGATAGTTTACAGCAAAAAAGATCTAGTAAAAAGATTACCGGAGAATATAACAAAAGTATAGAACAATATCAAACTGTGATTGACCATCTAAAAATAGAATGACGATATTTTTGAAGAAGATGTTTTGTCAGTTTTTCAAAGAAGAACCGTTTTAAACCTTCCTGCAGAAGGCAAAGTGTACAAAAAATTTTATTATATTTATCGAAAAATCGAATCATTAGGTCCAATGTTTTAAGGATCTGTCCTTAAAGAGTTGACAATGTTCCCAAGCCTGCTCCTTCTAATCATCATCTAAACCCATAGTATGTATTAATATTTTGAACAAGACATTAATTTTAGACTAATTGAAAATTTTAGACAGCAAAGAACTTTCCTTTATTTGGTAAGTGAAAAGTCTGCTGTTTCTCAAATAATGTTAAGAACCGTAATCATTGTTATCATTCCTGAATGAAGTAATAAGCCTGGTATGCTAAATCGTCAAATAATCTCATAAATAATTTTTAATCTGTGTTCTAGGGAACTCCTGTAGTTAGTGGAGTACCCGCAGCAGCAGCAGCTCCTAGAGGTTTCCCACCCGCCTATGCTCCTGGACGACCTACCTGGAGACTGACAACAATGCACCAGTCTGTCCCTAGAGCTCCAAACTATCCCACTCAACCTGGAAGTGCTCTCATAGAACAGCTAACAAGGCCCCCATCAATCACACCTCAATTTAACAGTACAGCAGTTGTTCATTTCATAGTTCTAACACTTGATTTAATAAAATATGTTTTTAGTTGTAAGAAAATGTCAGTATAAATAATGCTTCTTTAATGATCGCAAAATCCTGTATTGTATTTTCTCTTTTAGAATGCTTTTGATTAATTGGTTCTTTCATTTAGGTTTCACAAGTAATATATTTATGAATGTATAGCACTCTGATACTTATGAATGTATTTACCTTAATCTAAGGAAGGTGAAGAAATGTGATATTGTTATTAGAGAAAATATCTTTAAAATATAAAAAATATAATTTGCAAATAATGCCTTAATGAGCTTCACGAATAGTAATTTATATATATACATATATATATATATATATATATATATATATATATATATATTAATTTAAATAGAACAACATACCTGTTAAAGTGTAAATTGAGTGTTGCATTAAATGCAATATGCGCCTACCCATGTAACCAGGAATGACGCACCTGCTTGCATGTTAAGAGAGCTATTAATTTATTTTATTTTTTGGTGCAGAACATTCAGCTCATTACAGCCAATTTTTTTTTTCAGTTACTGAGTACTTTATCTATACTTTGATAATACAAAAAATGCAAAATAGATTTATTTTGTTTTCTATAACTTTTATCTTTGAATCCATTTCTGTCAAATACATGACCGACTATCAGCAAATTGTCTGAAAGCATACCAACTAAGAAAAATATATGTTAGGGTGAGAAGGGATATGATCTTTGCAACCCCTTACCGAGCCAATTAACTTAAGTTTCTAGGAAAGTATTTTATTTTACTTATGTTGACATTTAAAACCTATAACATTTATTTGTCGTTATATTTTTCAAAATCAGATGTTTTAAGGAATTCGTCAGCAATGTATCCCATGTACTTACGCAATTCTCTAAGCGTTCATTCTACATTAGGTATTTATGTTATCAGCCACTTGTAATTTGTCAGTGACAAATTATGATTTAGTTGCATGCGTTATGTCTTGATAATGCCTTAATAGGCAAAATATTGACTGACTAGTTTATTATTTATTATTTTTTGACAGATTATATCCTTTGGTTTTAAAATAGTCAAAATAAAAAAGTTCGGAGCTTGTTAAAGTTGGTCATATCAATTTTTTAAATATTATTTCAGATACAACTACTTTAGGAGGCACAGGGTTGAATGCTCAATCTGCGCAGCAATCTCAAATGCCTCCCCAACAGCAGCAAACAGCTCAGCCAATGCAGAGAATTCTCGGAACACCAGGAGTTATTGGCCAGCAAGTGGCAATTGTTCAACCACAGCCACCAAACGTGATGCCACAGAACCAGCAAGGTAATATTATCATCAGTCACTTACTACTGGGATAAATACTCGTATATTTAATTTTAAAATAATTCTTGCATGACATTCGTTTTAGCTACCCATGAATAAATTTGCTTGGAAGCAATAATGTTCATACCTCTTTCTTCCTCTTTTTAGAATTGTTATACTGTATTATCTCCTGTATTTATAGTTTCTGCTCAAGGTCTAACTCTTCTTTGCTCTACAGATTTAATACACCTATAATTGTTATGAGTTTTATTTTTCAATCTTAAAGGGACATTCCAACTTTAGGTCTATGAAGATAGCTAACCATTTATCATTAACCTCTTCTGTCTGTGTCTGGTTCCTCATCCTTTCCACATTTATGATATAATTCCTAACATTTTTAAAAAAAATTCTTACAGTGTAGTTGTTGGAATTTTAAACGGAATCTTTAAAAAATAATAGATATAATGTTGTTTGTTTATTAAATTAGATATATAATTTTTGTTGCTGGTGTTGATAGGTTGCTTTTAAGGTGACAGTTCTTTTGCTTAATCTTCATTTCTAAATATCCTTTCTTACAATCATTCAATTAAGCAAATAACCAAATGTAGCGATGAGGATTGGCAAAATTACTATCAATGAAGAATTTATGATTTTGTTTCTATTTGACCAGAACACCCACTGGTTATAGGTCTCATGCCACAACAAACAGGAGTCATGCAACAAACAAATTTACAACCTGGCATGATGGGGCAAGCGCAGCCTCAGGCCGGTGTTATGCAAGTACAGCCTGGACCCCCAATGCAACAGGCTCAAGCTTCACAGCAGCAGGTAAACTTGTTTAACCAAAATATTCATGTATCATAATTTCAAGTTACTACATCAATTGCTCGGCCTCCTCGTTAATTAGTCATTATTTTTATTTATTAATTTTCTTTTTCTAAAACAATAAATTTACATTTTAGACATCAAGGAAAACATTAGGTTTCTTGTCTGTATATAGTCAAATCTCTGTGACAGGCTTAACGCTTACTACTTTTAATTTGATTTTCATAAAAATATCAGAGACTGTGTGGGTCGGGACCTAGATAGCCCCATACCAATTTCATGAAATTCCATCCTCTATTTTTGCAGACTTATGTGTAAATTTATTTTTTTAGTAACGCCTATATTTCAGAAACAGCTTGTTCAATTTAGCTGAAAGTTGAGAAATTAAAAAAAAAAAAAATGATGCTGTATGAATTATATCAAATTCTATTCTCTAGTTTCTCATGCATATCATTAGCACCATGTGAAATTACCGAATGTGAAAAATCAAATTCTTCTATTTTGTTCGTTTACCATTTAGCAAATATTGAAGAAAATTTGGGGAATGGCGTACAAATTAATCTACAATTAATTTCATCAAATTCCATTGAACAATTAAAATTAGTGTACTTAATTGTTCAGAATATAGTGAATGTGAAGTGTTGTTAGCAGTGAACATATGGAAATGGAAGTTGAATTTATCCTATAGTTATATGGTTATAAAATTTTAGATTTATTCAAAATTTACTTTTCTTTAGTTTATCTTTAGACAATATTTTTACTTAACATTCTGGTTAGAATAGGTTTGGTTGTCTCTCTATGACAAGGCCAGGTTATTTTGCTATTCTTCTCTCAAATTATATCCTAGGTGTTTAGGCCAACTTTTTCAAACACAATATTTGTTATAATTCAGGGACAAAGAGAGAGACAAACGATTTGGCAAGGTATACTGGAGTGGCTTGAGAAGAAGGCACCTGGGGATTCGCAGAAGATGACAAGGCATGTACCTTGTCAAGTTTCTACAAATTATAAAGAAGGAGGAGAGCCTGAATTGTAAGAATAACATTCATTTGTCTCAGTATAACCATGAAAATTAATAAATATTAATTAACATTAGTTATATGTATATATGTTATACATGTGATAATTTACAATATATTATAAACTGAAAATAGGATTTTGTCTAAAAATCAAATCTGTGCTTAGGTCATTTTCATCTAGTTTTATATGACAATTAGAATTTTCAATAACAACCTTCATACTTCTATCTATTTTTTTTTTTATCTATAGTTGTGACATTTTGAAACAACTTTCTCATTTACATATATTATCTTATTTTAATATCTTTATATGAAATTACTTACTTTTTTCTTTAATGTATTGCCATATTTAGACTTTGGATTATCTTAAAAATCTGCTATTGCATTGCTTCCGAATCACAGTCCTATAACTGAGATTTTTTTCTCCCCCAATTCATCCCTATATTTTTTTTTAAAAGTAGGATATGCATTTCTTATAAATTTCCTCCTCTGTCTGTATATTAATCTTAATCTTCCTCATTAGTTTCAAACCTGATCATGGGATCCACTATTAGTTCCTCCTTTTCTGTCTCATTAAACACTAAAATGTCAATAAATCGTGTTAAGCCTTCTGTATCTAAGCAGTAAACTTTGAAGAAACATGTATACATATTCATTATACTACTAAGAAAATTTAAAAAAAAAAAAAAATAGTCAATTATTGTAAATGCATTCTATCATTATTAAACAGGATCAGAGATCAATCTAAATCAGGATTGCATGGGTAACTTTTCAAAATGGTAAATGTAACAAAGATACAGATAAAATATTAAATATTATTATGGCCATTTACATAGGTACAGACTTTTGATTTTGATTGGGAAGACGATGGGCCATAACAAAAAAAAAAATATATATATATATATGTATATATATGGCGGGAGTTTTTATTATGTGTAAAAATTCTACATAATTTTTTTGAATCTAACAAATATAATATTGATTATTTAAAATTAATTTGTTTATTAATTTTTTCTTTCTTTTTTTTTGTTTGTTATACTTATTATATATATTTGAAAATATGTAAAAAAAAAAAAATACAGTTGAATCTATAATGCTTTTGTCATAAATGATGATTTAAATAAAAATAACATTTAGGTATCAATAAAATAGTTACATACCTACTACTAGGCCCTAATCTAGCCAGCTAGTCGACTTTTCTTAATCGATTTTAGTTTGCACCTTTTATTCATTTATGTAGCTTATTTATTCTTGATTTTAATTTATTTTTCCTCAAATTATCGGAGGGGGGGTGAGCAAAATGATTTTCTCGTCCCCTCAACATTTTTATTGAGGGTGTTCAACGGGGTAACGCTCTCCCCTTCCAAAGTCTGTGATTATGGCCATTACTAATAATGATATTCATTTGTAAAATATAAAAACATTCTAAATTAATTATTAAATTTCAAATTTTCAAACTAATCAAATTATGAATTTGACAATACATAAAAAATATAAGTATTTATATGTACTTTTAAAATAAGATATTCTTCAACAAAGATAAAATTTAATTAATTCTTCATAAGTACATTATATTGTAATATATGAACAGTGTGGTGGTTTAACAGAATTTATTATACATCTTCAAATGAAAAAAAGAAGATTAGAATAGATTATTTTCGTTTTCAATAGAGGGAATCATGTTATGTTTCAGAAAGGCTGATTCGTGGCCCCAGAAGTTGATAATGCAGTTGATGCCCAAACAGCTGATCGGTAATATTGGAGGTGCATATTTGAAAAACTCTAAATCAGTGTTGTTTCATCCACAGGCATGTGATGCATTGGAGTCTTTGACCAAAGTTATGAGCACTGGTTATGTAAGAATATTAATCATGTAGTATTACTTAACGAAATGTGTAACTAACAATGATCTGAGTGCCAAAAGTATTAAAATTATGTGTGCTGAAAATCATGAAATGAGAAAAAACTATGAACATAATCAAAATTGTATATCTATTATATGATACACACTAATAGTTTACCTTTCTCTAATGGCAAAATCATGTATCATTTATTTTCAACATAAACCCTAAACAATGTGTACACATGAATGCTTCAAACAAACTATATATGTATACATGACAATAAGAAAGGAAAATATTGTTTTCACAGGTTTCAGGAAAAAAAACATATTTTTTTCAACATTTGGTTCAGTATCAGATAAAATCATATCTTTTTAAAAATACATTTTCAAGTATCCAATAATGATTTTTAATTGCAGATAATTTTTTATTTAATGAAATATTAAGGTAAATTTTATATATATTATTAAGAATTAACATCTAATTGAATAGCGACAAGTTGTAATATAAAGTTTATATAATATTATAAAGTTTTTAAACTCAATATTTTCAAATGTTAGATTTTTGATTGAGTTAGTATTGTAAAAAGTGATTCTAGCATGCAATATACTTATAAATTTAACATATTTACAAACATTTATGGCAAAGAATCACTTGTCAGTTGTGGTCACCCTAATTCAATAAGTTATGTTTAAGGCTGGATGTGTTCACTTCACCAGTACTCCTCAGTGTGATATAAAAGTTTTGATTCTTTTATATACTTCTGAGAAGAGAGCCTATCTTGGTTTTATTCCCAATGATCAAGTTGCATTTGTGGATCGCTTGAGGAAAGTTATTCAGCATCAGAAGTCAACACATGCGCTTACTAGACAGGTAGTTTATAACATTTTTATACTATTTTTTATTAATGAACTGTCCATTTTTTTATTTTTTATTTTCTATTTTTTTTTTTTTTTTAAATACAGTGTAACGTCATAAGCTTACTGCCTAAGAGTTCCTCTCCTCTCCTTCGTTTCTAGTTGGTAGCATGAGCACATTAGCAGCACGCCTAATGAATTGCTCAATACGTTTTGTTTTTTGAATCTCAAGAAATACATATATAACCCAGTATTACACAGAGTTGAAGTGGCTCTATCCATCTAATTGCCATCTGTACTTCCTTGCTACCTTTTTATACCAAGCCATCAGAATTCAGCGACCTTCCTATATCTTTCACAGTCTACAATTTAAATACTCCGTCCAATCTCATACTTCCGACCTCTATTCTCCTCCTCAAAGAACTGCTGCGTTTGATAAATCTTTTGTAACTCAAGCCTTCTGGAATACCATCCCTTCCAATATCCGACATGCGCAATCAGTTTTCTCATTTAAATCTCTCATTTTTAAGCACTTACTCCTTTCCCAGCCCGATCGATCACGAAATGTACATAAGACAACCTTTTAAGTTTCCCCAGAAATTATTTTGTTTACCTACGTTTATTTTATATATATCTGTATATTTATGTTTCATTTGTTTTTTCTTCCTATATTTTAATTTTAATGAAATATTATTTTGTAAATAATTCATTTAATGTATGGCCACACAGGCATTTTTTCTGTTTCTGTAATTTGTTCAAAAGGGACAATAGTCCTAGGATAATAATTTTTTTTTTTATTTTGGTTCATGGGTTCACCAAGTTCTTTACAGAATTATAGTTACCAATAAACTTCCTTTTTTCGTTGTATTTTAAGCTGTATTTGGATGATCCATTAATGAAAATAGGAGAACAACCTGGTCCATATTTCACTTATATTAGTGGAAGAATTTTTTTTTTTTTAATTCAGATTATTTACTGCCAATTTTACTACACATTATTTAGTTCCTGGTCACTAAGACATTGTAGATAATGAGAAAACTGATCAGCTGGATTGAGCTTTTCTCTTCTATGGTGAGAACCAAATAAATAATAATTATAAAATAAAATATATATATATTCATTTCCTATAGTAATATAGTAGACTGAGTAATAAGCATTAGGAATTTCCTTTATCATGAATATTAACAGTAACTTAGCATTGCTTACTCTTTAATTAGATAAAATGTCCTATAAAAATTAATCTGTATCACAAATATAAATAAAAGGGGAGGGAATTTTATAATTAATGAAAACTTTCCTGTGATGTTTCAAGTGTAAATGGAGGATTTTCTTAATATCTGGTAATAAAGAAATTTACATAAATATTATTAAACTTTCTTAATTAATTGAATTTAGGGCGGGGCTCCGACTGGACAAGCTATCCCAGGAGGTGGTCTAGCTGGACCACAGGTGCCTCCTACAAGTCAAGCCCAGTTGGGCACAATGTTGCAACAACAGCAGCCTCAGCAACAGCAGCAAGCTATTGGTAACTTTTATTCATCTTCATTTATAATTTGATTAGATAAAGAGTTAGCTTTGTAATTATCAAATTTACAGGTGCAACATTAGGAGTTGGGCAAAATACCTCTATGCTAGCGGCTTCTGGAATGCAAAGTGAAGCTAATCAACAACAAGGTTCCAATCAGGTAATATCTATATTCTTTGGCATCCAGTAATATCTATACATATATATATATATAAAAGTGGCGTGCTGACCTAACCTAAAAACTTTTTAAAAAATATAAGTTCAGTATATAATAATTTAACTTAATTCATTCTAATAATGTTAGTTTTGTTTGCTTTTAAAAATTATTGTTTTAATTTTACTAGTAATTATTAAAACATGTTACTTGGTTTCTTAAACCTTCAGGTAATTATGAAATCAAATATTGTTAAAAACTTTAGAGTTATGGCATATTCATTCATATGTATTATTTTATTAACAACATTAAAGAAAAGGAAAGAAAATTAAAAAATACTTTGATTTCTTTATTTATTCTAAAATCTTTGTTGAAATCACTGATTTTTATTATAAATTCTTTAATATAGTTGTAACATAGTAACAGTTGTTGTAACATGTAAAGTGATGATCACATTAAAAAAAATTCTTAAAAAACATTTAAGTGAAGCCAAAATAATGTGGAAGAATGTTAAAGGAAAAAATTAAGAAGTCTTGGGTGGATTGTGATGAAGTATCTGAAAATGAAATACGTAAGACATCAAATTTTATGTGCTTAGCATTACAGAAAGTGGTTAAAACTTTAATAATTCAAGTCCAATTTACATAGATAATTGTCTAAACAGAGAAAGTAGAGACATAATGATAACGAAATTGGGAAATTCGTGTAACCTTTTAATCAAATGCCACAGCAAGCATGCAGCTGGAAGAATTAGATAAATGGAGAGCATTGACACCTATTCAGTGTTGGTTCTCCCACACATAACTTTAAATTATAGTAGATCCATAGTTTTTAGCTCAGACTTAAACAATGTTACAGATGCGGAACTTTTAGAAGAACTGATCATTGAAATGTCAGCAAAATAAAAAGAACCACCATTGAAAAACTCATCTAGAAAAATATCTGAATTAACGTTCTATTTTCTATTTTAGTGGTGGGGGGACTAAGTCCAGCAAGTGGACCTATTGGTCCTTTTTGCCAATCCCAAAAACAATAATACTAATGGTTGTCTAGGGGGGATTCTTTTAAATCCCTGCCCACACCCCCTGGCCCGGGAAAACTCTGTATAGCCTTAAAGGCGAGGAAGGGGAGGATCCAAAAAATAAATAAATAAATAAAAACTCTGTCTCAAATCTTTTTGTTCTTCTAATGAAGTTCAAAAGGCTGGGTCATTTTATTTAGGTAGCTACATGTACATTTATTCTATCTGTGCGACGCAAATCTGTCGCATTCTGTAATGTAGTGAAGGGCAGTTTCTGATGCGTTTTTGCACAGAATAAAGAGTTCATCGTTTACTATCCCTAAGTCTGCAGTGATCTATTAATGCTCCGATGATGAGTCTGATTTCCTTTTTAGTTAGGCCCAACAGCCACTTAGTTTTAGAGAGGGAGGGGCTTTTGATAAATTGTTTGGCTTGTCTAAGCCCAATACATTTCCTCCACTGTAGCATCTTTACCTAATGGTATGCTTAATTCTATATTTAAGTTCTCTATATAGACTCCTGCACCCATTAAGCTACATTAAATCAAATGTATTAAAGTTAAAACTAGATATTTTGCCTGCATAATTTAAGAATTTATTTTATAAATGTCCAATTAATCTTTTTTCGATAATCTCAAACTTTTTTGATGATAAGGTAGTAGAATTAAGGACTAACTGCTATTCTTTTACTTTATCACTGACTATCGGGACACCTCTTGGTAAATACCATGTTTGACTTTCCATTGCCTCATAATGTGCTTATTTTAGCATGTGTGTATGATATCTTAGTCATGTTAATCAGTAGAATATTCTCTGAAATAGAATTAATTACAAAACTTTGTTAATTCTAGAAAAATGGGCTAAAGATAACAAACTCTATTTCAACGCAGAAAAATCTTAAGTAAAAGTGCCAAATAGCTGAATTAAACATCCAAATGAACAATAAAAAGCTTGATCACTTAAATAATTTAACATATTTGGGACTAAATTTTGACAAAAAGTTAAATTGGAAAAATCTTATTGATAGTACTGTAAACAAAACTATAAAAACAATCAATGCACTTGTTAACTAAATTAAACTAAAATGGGGGTTAGAAGTTGAGATTTTAAAAATTAGATATGAAGGTGCCATATTACCACAGCTTCTTTATTCAATTCCCGTCTAGAAACCAGCCGCTTTAAATACAACAAATCCTATAAAACTGAAAACTGTACAACGACTAATAGGAATAACGATGAGCAAAACATTCCATGTGATCTCTTATGAAGCTGCTTGCATCTTTGTTAGTATTATACCAATAGAATACAAAATTAAACAACTATTCTCCCTTTACAGAGTAACTAAGCAAAGATATGACTAAAAACAATTTAGAACAAAAAATATAGAATTAGATATTAACAAAAGAAAAACACCATAAAAAATCCCAAATGTCATGACTTACTAAACTGCAACATTTAGGCAAAATATTTTAAAACTTCACGACTTAGACGTAAAAGTCAAACTTGATTGGGTGAAAGGACACAGCGGGATTGTTGGAAATGAAGCAGCGGGGATAGCAAGACAAAACCTGCTTCACGGAACAGTCTCCTGCCAATCAGCTATGACAAAACCCTTCTATCTCATATTAAAAAAAATATGAGACAGCTGACATCATAAATGATTGGAATAGACAATGGCAACAAACAACTGTTTCATAAATTTGTTTCAGACATTACTCTTACCAATTATGACAAAATCAAAAGTACACACTATAAATTTACACAATTTTTAACTGAACACTGACAAAGCAAATTTTACTTAAAATGATTTTATCTGACGAATACTGATACATGCCACTGCGACGGACAAACTTCCCAGACATTTCATCATATTCTTTAAGACTGCTTTATCTTTGACAGTAAACAGCATAATTTAATAAGAAGCATAGTTTTCCATAGACGATTACTAGCCTCTAAGAGAAAAGGTTTTTTTTTTTAAATACAATAAGGAGATGAAGAAATTTACCCTTGAAGTTGATCTCCAACTCTTCAAAGAAGACTCTAATGATTAATAATTTTATTGCATATATTTTGTTTTGTTTTAAGTAATTTATTAGGAAAAGTTGAACTTTGTATTATAACTAAAATCATATAATTTATTACTTTTTTAAATATTTTAAATGATACATTTATTATACGTAATGCATGGAGCTTGTAAAATTAACAATACAGGGTTACATTATGAGGGAAAGATGGGAAAAAACATTTTAATTTAGGTTATACTTGGAAAAATCCAAACACAAAGCCATGAGTATACAAAATGCTCAAACTAACTCATCACCAATTCATGCATTTTCTTTTAATTTTTTAATTTAGGTCTTATTTTTATCTTTTTTATTGTCTTGACAAAGTTTTTGCGTATATCTATGCTATAGGGAGGTCAGTTTAATACACACCTTGTCGAAGCAAGGCAAGAAAATCTTTTCAAAATACAGAGGCTACAACAGACCCTAGAGGCTGCACAGCAACAAGAACTACAATATAAAAACCAATTAGAGGTAACCTCTAATTATTACTCACAGGTCAGTGAATACAATTTTTTTACCGTTTTTAATTTTATGTAGTTATAATTTTCCACTGTTTTGAGCTATTGCTAGATGTTGCTTCTATTAATATCTGGTTGCATCACAGGAAATGTGAATTCTATTCAGGAAAACACAGAATAGCACAAAAGGAATAACCACTTTTTAATGAATAAAACTTAATAGACTTAAAAAAGTTATCTATTGAAATAATCAATTTTTTTCATCAAAACATACAAATTAATTAAAAATTTCATTTATCACTGATGGAAACTTTCATCCGCTAAGTGACATAATCATTTAACATATAAAAATTCTCTTTTTGACGTTCTTCATCACTTTCATCATAGTTTTTATTTCTATGATTGCTGTTTCTGTAGGTAAGGAGGAATAGTTAATATGCAGTGTACAAGTGGTGTCCACTGTGCCATTACTGGCCATATGGCACTGTGACAGACATTTGGCGATGATTATTGACCTCCAGAGATCATGATGGCCAAGCATTTTAAAGTGTTGCCCATTTTAGCATTCTCGTGGATTGCCTGGACAGGATAGATATTTATTTCGTGGCAGATCCATGGAATGAATCTCAACCTTCCTACTCTGAGTAGAATAGGTTTGGTTATACCTCTAGAACAATCCTCCCACATGCCAGAAAAAGTAGGGAGAATCAAAAAAAAAATAATACCTCTCTCCCCTACTAATGATCCATTTCAGGCGAGTGTTTTTTCATACATGAATGATATTGTTTTTCGCTTCATCACTACTGAAGGTAGGGAAGCTTTGTATTTGTGGGAGAGGTTAAACAAAAATTTTGTTCGGAAACGAAAATTTCAATAAAATCTATTTAACAATTAAAATTAATATTTATCATTGTTAAAAATATAATGCTGTGAAATGTAAAAGGCATTGAACATATGGAAAGTTCAAATTGTATATTTTCATGAGTTTAGTTTTATATGATTTTCGATTTTTAACAAAAATTTAATTTGAAAGAAATTGTGTTGTCTATTTCTTGTTTGGTTCTGTTGAATTACAATCAGTTTTTTTTCCCAATTTCTCTTCTAAACTTTAAAGTAGTAAGGGGTCAGCTTTATGAATTATTTATTGTTGGTGATTAAATGAATTAATGAGTACGCACAGGCCTTCTCTTCATCTAATTTGTAAATATCAGTTATTCTTGTTTCTGGACACCAGCATACACTTAGTCTTGGAAGTGCTAATGACCATATTTCTTTTTGCTAACTCTTCTGTCCTGACATCTAAATGTGCCTGTAACTTTTCTTTACCGTCAGCTATTAGCGTAATGTCATCAGCAAATGCAAACGACAAACAGTTGACTGGTTGCAATTTCCAATATCCAAGTGGTGTCTCCCTTGGTTTTCTCTTACATTCCTTAATAACATGATCCATGAGGGTGATAAAATATAGAGATTTCCCTATGTCTCCCTGCCTGACTCCCATTGGAATGACAAATTCGGCAGATGTTTGATGGGACGTTCTAAAATAGTTTGTGCAGGTCTTATAAAATTATTTAATTCTCTGTACAAGAGCCTCGGACACTTGTTTATTCCGGAGTGAAGCCCATAACTTATTCCAAGATATCCTATCGAATGGCTTCTCTAAGCCTATAAAGCATAGGTAAACCTCTTTATCGTACTCGGTGAATTTCTCACATATTTGGCGTAGTGCAAAGATGTGATCTTGAGTACTCCTGCCTGATCGGAAGCCACTCAGCTTCTCGTCCAGTTGGTGTTCTACCTTGTTCCTCAATCTTCTTTCTAAAATACGTCGAGTATAATTTACGTGGAACACTTAGCAATGCGATGCCTCTATGATTGGCACATTGTTGAGTATCACCTTTCTTGAAGATTGGGACAATGATTGAGATTTTCCAATCTTCCGGAATCTTCTTATCTTTCCAGGCCAATTCTGAATTACCTTGAAGAGTAATTCGTCCCCTACCTCCCCCATATATCTAAGCATCTCGGGTGTTATTCCATCATGACCTGCTGCCTTTCCCAGCTTTATTCTATCCAGTGTGTCCCATATTTCCTCTTTTTCTATCGGGTCGTCTTCTCCTTGCTGCAGCTCCACACTATCCTCATTAATCTCTTAGCAATTTTCCATTTCTTCGCTCCTATCTTTTCCATCCAGTAACTCTCTAAAGTATTCCCTCCATCTTTCCAGTATTCGCTTTGTCTCACTTATTATTTTGCCTTTATAAACTTTATAGGGCATTCCTCATGTTTTTCAAAACTTTGTAGAACAGTTTTTGATTTCCTTTGGCTTGTTCTTCCATAAATTCTCCAAATTCTTTCCATGCTTTCTGTTTCTCCTTCACAACCATTTCCTTTACTTTCTTCCTCTGCACCATATACCTTTCATAGCTTGCCCAATTCTTCTCTTCCAGGTAGCTTCTCCAAAGGTATTTCTTCCTTCTCACCTCTTTCTCTCAAAACCTGGGTCCACCATCTAGTCTTTTTCCCCCTGCCACTGCTGCCGTATGTCACCTTCCCACAAACTACTTCTGCTGCACTCTGGATCACTGCCTTAAAGTTCGCCCATGCTTCTTCCAACTCATCAGTATATTGGCCTAGCCCAGGCTTTGTCTTCCTTCTTCCACTTTTTTAGCAAATTCCTGCTGGACATCTTTATTTCTCAATTGGAATACCTTAATTTTCTCCTTGATATTCTTCTTTGTTCTGTGACTTTTACTTCGCTTCTGTTGTTAGGGCACACTCATTTTTACTACTAAAAGGTAGTGGTCACTTCCGATTTCTGGGCCTTTTTTCACTCTTGCATCTCCCACCCTGGGGAGTAATTTTCTTTCCGCTATTATATAGTCACTAATGGACTTTTCATGTCTAGATGGCTCCTCCCTGGTATATTTTTTAAGTATTCATTTATGAGGAAACTTTATGTTGAGCAGAACAAGGTCATTTGCGACGCAGAATTGTAACAGCCTCTTTCCATTGTTGTTCCTAACTCTTCTCCATATGGGCAGGGCACTCTTTCGAAACCAATTTGACATCTACCCACTCTTCCATTCAAGTCTCCCAGCAGCATTAGATTTCCGTCTTCATCGTCCATTGCTTTCTGCAGCATTTCGAAGAATATATCATTCACCTCTGTTAGTTCATCCCCACTAGGTCCATATGCCGCTATTAATGTCCTATTTTCCTTGGTTTCCTGATCTCTTATCTTCAAAATCAATATCCTTTCATTAATTCTCCTCCAGCCCACAATATTCCTTGTGAAGTCCCTATCAATAAGAAATGCTACCTCTGCTTTAGCTCTCTCGTTGATTGCTACTCCAGAGTGAATTAGCATAAACCTATTACCAACGTATATGCAGTATGTTCCCTTCTTCTTTGTTTCGGTGATCACCATTATCTTTGATGATGTCTTCTCCATTTCTTCCACCAGCTCCATCTCTTTCCCAGCTAGACCCCTTATGTACCATGTTCCATATTGTGTTGTTCCGTGTCCTCACCAAGTCACAGCCATGAAAGACAATCCGGTTTTCTTCCTTGAGTTTCTTTTAATCATTTTCATTCGGAGATGTGGGGGATTGGCCCACAGTCCCCTATTGCAGGGGAGGGACTGCCTCCTTAAGGTAGCTACACCAACCTTGTGGCTTCATAGTTCTAAACAGGATATTTAACTCCTACTTCCTGAGACGGTCAGATGGTATGACCCATTCAGGTTACCACATTTACAGATCGTTTAGCCAGTATAATACTGTTACCAGGGGGCACCACGCGGAGGCGATCTGTCTTCATCCCCTCATATCTCAAATCTTTTCAAAATACAGAGGCTACAACAGACCCTAGAGGCTGCACAGCAACAAGAACTACAATATAAAAGCCAATTAGAGGTAACCTCTAATTATTACTCACAGGTCAGTGAATGCAATTTTTTGCTATTTTTAATTTTATGTAATTATAATTTTCCACTGTTTTGAGCTAGTGCTAGATGTTGCTTCTATTAATATCTGGTTGCATCACAGGAAATGTGAATTCTATTCAGGACACGCAGAATAGCACAAAAAGAATTGCCACTTTTTAATGAATAAAACTCAATGGACTTAAAAAAGTTATCTATTAAAATAATCAGTTGTTTTCATCAAAACAAACAAATTAATTAAAAATTACATTTATCACTGATGGAAAATTTCATCTGGTAAGTGACAAAATCATTTGACATATAAAAATTCTCTTTTTGAAGTTCTTCTTCACTTTCATCATAGTTTTTATTTCTGTGATTGTTTTTCTTTTGGTGAAGAGGAATAGTTAATATGATTGTTTTTGGCAATGATAACTTCCAATTAAACAACAATTGATTTATTTCCCAGTTACACGTTAACGTTTCAGGATATTTACTCCCATCTTCAGAACTACAATCCAAATCTTTTTTGTTGATTCATGGCTTAAGTCGACAAAAAAAATATTGGGATTGTAGTTCTGAAGATGGGAGTAAATATCCCCAGAAAAGTTAACATGTAAATGTAACATGAAAATACAACAAATAAATCAATTGTTGTTTAATTGGAAGTTATTATTGCCAAAAACAAAGAATAACACAACTTTCCAGCAAAAGGAAAAAAATAAGTTAATATGCAGTGTTCAAGTGGTGTCCACTGTGCCATTACTGGCCATATGGCACTATGATAGACATCTGGCGATGATTATTGACCTCCAGAGATCATGATGGCCAAGCACATTAAAGTGTTGCCCATTTTAGCATTCTCGTGGATCGCCTGGGCGGGATAGATATTTATTTTGTGGCCGACCCATGCAATGAATCTCGACCTTCCTACTCTGATTAGAATAGGTTTGGTTGTACCTCTAGAACGACTCTCCCACATGCCACAAAAGTTAGAGGGGAATCCAAAAAAAATTATAAAACCTCTCTCCACTACTGATGATCCATTTGAGGCGAGTGTTTTTTCATACATGAATTATATTGTTTATTGCTTCCTCACTACTGGTGGTAAAGAAGCTTTGTATTTGTGAGAGAGGTTAAAAAAATTTTGTGTTTGGAAACGAAAATTTCATTAAAATCTATTTAACAATTAAAATTTATTTATATTATTGTTAAAAATATAATCGCTGTAAAATGTAGAAGGCCTTGATCATATGGAAAGTTCAAATTTGTATATTTTCATGAGTTTAGTTTTATATGATTTTCGATTTTTAACAAAAATTTAATTTGAAAGAAATTGTGTTGTCTATTTCTTGTTTGGTTCTGTTGAATTACAATCAGGTTTTTTTTCCTGATTTCTCTTCTAAACTTTAAAGTAGTAAGGGGTCAGCTTTATGAATTATTTATTGTTGATGATTAAATGAATTAATGAGTATGCATAGGCCTTCTTTTCATCTAATTTGTAAATGTCAGTTTTGTTTACACTGAACAAACAAATAATCAAATATTTTCTATAAATTTTATGATTGAAAACATACAGATTAAGCACAATGTGTTCATACATATTGTCTTAGGAATCATTTCAAATCATGATTTGTTTGTCATGCCGAAGAGTCAAATACGCAATTCACAAATATGGAACCCTTTAACATTTTTGTTTTTACTGATGATCTAAATGGGATATAAAATCCACAAAATTTGTGGGATTACTTTTCAAATGCGGCTTTTCTGGATAATATTATTCACAAATGAAAAGTTATTAATTGTGAGATATAGGTATGTTCGGAACCAGTGAAAATGGTGAGAAAGCTATTCTGCCCTCGTTTGGCAGATGTTTTTATTTTTTTCAACCTGTTTGAAATTGTACAAAATACATTGATAATTATTTTAAAAAGTTTAGTTTTATTTAATTCAAAAGTGAGTGACCATTCTTCTTCCAGTACTTTGCATTATAATGTATCAATTGATTTAATATAATTTTAAATTCTAAATGCTTTTGGGATCTGAATAAATTCTAGGAAGGCATTTTGTAATGAATTATTAGTATTATTTAATCAAATGTTCGAAAAACAGCCCTTAATCTCGCCAATTGCTCTAGAGGTTGCTAAAGAAACTCAATTTTTAAATTTGGAATTTTTTTGCAGGTTAGTCTCTTGATGGATAATCATTGATTCTGGTTAAGTATTGGCCTGCATATTTTATTGATATCTCTACCAAAACTTTTTTGTGATATGACCAGATATTAATGCTGTTTATCTTAATTTTAAGGTTATTTGATATGATGAAATGACCTTGAGTGTTTGTTTATTTTACCATACTATCCTATCTTCTTTGTCTATTTATGAAATGCAGATATCTTATTGCGTTCATAAATTAATTACATTGAATCATCTCTTCTATTTTCTGTTACTTGCAACAATAGAAGTGAAAGTAGTTGCCAGTTGAGAATAAATTTTTATTTTTAATATTATTACTCAAACTTCATGTAAAACCTTGTCTGTTATTTGAATTATGATACTATCATATTCTTCAACAAATAATGTTTTTGTTTTAGCTTCATCTGCTTAGTCCATTCAATACAGTGGCCAAATTGCCCAAATTTTGTAGCATAATACGTAGTTAATGAAAAACTTGCTGTTAATTTCCTTTTGACATAAATCATTTTCTTTTTCAGTAAATTTTTTAAATTTAGGGGAAATTCCCTCATTTTTCTTCTCTAAAATTAAGGTGAACGAAATAATGCTCTTGCAGTCATTGGAAAGGATTTGCCAATGAAATATCATATTTACTTACAAATTAAATCTGATTATTGCATTTTATATTGATTATTTCAGTCATGTATTTACTATATTTTAGGTAAATTTTTATATTGTTGTTTTATTGAAAACTGTTGGAAATAAATCCAGTTTATTTATTTCATATTTAACATGTGATCCGTGCTATTTTGTTTATTGTGTGTGCAGTGTTCAGCAGGTTAAGAGTTGTTGTTTTAGCGTGTCGTAAACGATACTTTGATGATTATTAAATATTGTAAAGTGTTCGTAAATAAAGCTTTTTCATACATTGCTTTGGTTTCTTATTATATTTATAACGCTAACACAAACAATGTATTTTTTTAGAAAATTAAATTCTAAACATTGATGGCTTTTTTTTTTTCTCAATGGAGAAAAATATTTCAAAAATGAAACCTATTACTACTTGTTCTCAAACCCTTCTAGAAATACTGGACTAGTGAGATAGGCTTTTCTGAATGACTGTAGTAGGCGCTTAATTGTGAGGTAGACTGAGCGTCCAATGGACTCAATTAATGCACTGAAAATGATAGGTTGAATGAATAATAATAATAATATACTGGTTTGGGTATCCATTTCGTTTTTTCTTATATTAAAGTATATTTATTATATAAGTCATTACGTAGTTCTGAGAACTATAAATGACCTTAAATGTATTATGTTTATTTTATTTTCATTTTACAATAAGCGAGTTATAATAAAACCTGATTTGTATAGTTTCTTCATGAAGATTTTTTCTTCGGTACTCCTTAAATAGCCGGGCGGGATCGACTGCTATCTGCCAATGTTTATAACCTGAACACTGATAATTCTGATTAGGCACTGATAATTCCTATCTTCGTATTCATATTTTTTGTATTTTTAAATAGATAAAATGCATCTCAAGTTTAAAATTTTGATTTGGCATATATATATAGCTACTACAGTAGTATTTTTCAAAGGCACTCAATGTTCTTATATATGGTGCCTTCAAGGAATATATAAGCTCTTATACTTTAAACATTTATTAAACTTCAAACGGTATTTCGAGCTGATTTGCTAATTCTCAAGTCATTGAATATTTGTTTATCTAAAAAAATATATTTCTATATTATAATTTCATTAAATATTCATTATCGGTACACCAAATACAAAAGAAATAACATTACTCCTCGTCTCCTTTTTTTCGCATTTACTCTAATGCTTATCCATTCCTGAACTCGGTGCTACATCCTCCCTCTATTGTTTAAAAATGTGCAATCAATATTAAACGATAAAGGGGGAGGATTTAGTATCGATTTTTCGATTTGAGTAACTGTGCAAAAAAAGAGATGAGGAGTAGTGTTATTTTTACTTACCTGTATATACGTTATATAGTAGGGGTAAGTATTGTGTAAATTTGTTATATAAATTTTCGAATTCGATAGTTGAAATGGAGCAATCAAAGGAATAAGTGCTCGCCCGAAAGATTATAACAGGCTTCCATACATAACATGAGCTTAATATCATACAGACTCCGTCAATATTATGTATATATACATATGCTGTTTTCATAGATGCTATCGTTGGTATTATTTAATATTTAGTTGTATAGATTACAGCGATATAAAAAGTAAAATTTCTTTATATAAGGATAATTAAACAAATAAAAATATCCTCAATGAAATGTAAATAAATAAAGCGTCTATAATTTTTACTTTCACTTCCTCTTTGTCTGAAAATACTTATTTCTGTTAAGAAGAGGGTAATAAGTGAAAGTTGTGTGATGCGCGCATCAGAATTTTTGTATTTTGTGCACCAATAATGAATATTTAATGAAATTGTAATATAGAAATATATTTTTGATGACTTGAGAATGAGTAAATCATTTGAAGTGTAATAAATCTTTAAAGTACAAGGGCTTATTACTATTATGTCAAGGTCTATTACGATGTTTCTTTTTCTTTTTATTCCTTCATGACTTTGTTTTTTTAGATAATGAATCAAATGAAACTACAGCAGATGCAAGAAAATGTTGGCTTACAGCAAGTTGGTCAACCTCAAGATCAGTTTAAGTCACAGTTAGAGGTTAGTGTTTATTTTTATTATTTTTTCACCAATTTTGGATTTTCCCAATACATCTTTTATTAGTAAGTGCTCTGAAACTTTTTATGGTCAGACTTTAAGTGAAGGACAGGTTGCTATATTCAAGGCAGGTGAAATCCTGATATATAATCTAATGAACAACTGTTCATAGTTGTTTTTACTTTCACTTATGTATATATATAATGTATAGTAAGGGTAAGTATTGCGATCGAGAAAATTTTTTAATCAGAGTTTTCAACGGAAATACACGTTTTGAGGTACCCTGAGTCGAAATGACCAAGTCCCTAAAAATGGTCTGTGTGTTTGTATGTTAGCAGTCTAGCTCAAAAACGAAAAGTCCTACGAAACTGATATTACGTATTTAAGATATGTCTTAGATGTGACAGCAACTTTTTCTTAAAATCGGCTAACCGGAAGTGCCACTTTATATCAACACTGAAACACATTTTCACAATTTTCTCAAAAACGGCTCTTAACGATTTTGATTAAACTCAATGTATCATTGTATAATTAAGTGGTCTTTAATATCAATTCGGTCTTATCCCCACTGATGTCACTTTACAGGGCTTAAATGTCCAATGTTCATATACGTCTTCCTCTAAAGTACCAAATAGTGCATAAATAGTCGTAGAATCAGTAATCAACTGGTGATATAATTAATAGTAGTATTTTTTTAGCTTTAGCTCAGTTAAGAATGCAATTCAAAATTGTTTGATGCATGTTGATTTATTGATTTGATTGTGAAGATAATGTTTATGTTTTAGCAGGAGCAACAAAAACAGTTAAGAGCTCAATTACAGCAGCAGTTGCAGCAACAGCAGCAGCAACAACAACAACAGCAACAAGTAAGGGGGTTGGCTCCTCAGCAGCAGCCCAATCCTGCACAGCAGCGAATGATGAGGCCTCCTATTTCCAATAACCAACTTAGACATTTACTTCAAGGGGTAAATAATGGCTTTGAATTATTGTAGTTTAAATAAGTTAGATATACAGAGAGATAATTACTATTGACTCTGAAGTGTTGTAGACTATCCAATTTATTAACCCAAACAATCTTAATTTTTTCATTTAAAATAATTAATTAAATGGTAATAGATACATAGTGAAGATGAATGGCCTGTTGTTGAAGGATTTCTATGTCAAAGTTGGGCTCAGACAAGCTGATCCATTATCTCCTTCTCGTTTTAGTATAGTCTTTAACTTTAAGTATGCAATAAGAGCAATTTGGTCATATAGCCCAGTAATCTTGTCATGAAAAGGGGATCTAAGTTGCATCGAATGGGGGTAGAATGTTTCTTTTTTTTTCTTGTATGTGATGTGGATGTGACTCAGACGCAAAATCCAAGTGTTCATGCCAAATTTTCAAAACTTAAAAATGTTAAGCTAATTCTCATCTTTGTCTTTATTAACCTGCCTTATAAGAGTTAGTGAAGTAAATATTTATTTAATTTATTATTTTGAAGGAGTAAATAAGGAATATCCAAAATCTTTGAAAATGTAACAAGAAACTGATGGAAACATTATTTGGTAGAAGAAAAATATAGTAGAAAGATGAAGAGAGTAGCAGTATAACTATGCTATTAGTGAGAAGCGAATTAGATGGCAGAGGACTGTAGGCGCCTACGCCAGTGCCCCTTTTCCACTGATTAAGTTCATTTTCTAAAGAACTCTTGCAAATATGTTAAAAATTAATGAGTGGTTTAGAAAGAGAAATTTTTGCTAGTTGTTTTTCGATATTGTTGGCCGTTTTATTACAAATGATGCTTGATTTTCAGCATTAATTTGAATGACTTGAAAGAATTGATTTTACTGGTATTTTTTATTACCAAGACCAATTAGTTTTTAGATTTTGTTGATGTTTTATTATACTCTGACTATCCATCTTTAATAAAAGACTAACTATGATGAAAAGAACCCAACTGCTAAATCTCAGTGACCGAAAAACCAACTCAAATCAAAGAAATCGACCTGTCATGTTTGGACGCCATTGTGAGGGGGAAGTGCATGGTAGGGGGGTCTGGCCTATAGACTACCCTCGCCCACCAAACCTCTCCCCCTCCACCTCTCTATCACCTACTTCAAAAAGTGAAAATGAATAAATGTTTACTTCACTGACTTATCAGACAGGTTATTGAAGATAAAAGACAATGCATATGATAACAAATGAAAAATAGTTTCCATTTTTTAATCTTTGAAAGTAAATAAAAAATCTGTATCTCAAAAACTATTTGATTTACCAAGCCTGGTATGGTCTTAAATTGTAGCATATTTAATCTAGTTTAAAAATGTATAGAGTGTTTTTGTGCTACTTCATGCTTCATGGCTTTTCAAAATTGATCCGGGGAGAGAGGAGGGCGCCGAGTCCGACAACTTGGATTTTGCATCTCAGACACATCCCGTACAGGAAAATAAAAAGAAACCTTCTACTCCTATTCAACTCAACTTACGATCCTAATATTCTAGTGGCACTATTTATAACAGAATGACTAGCTTACGCTGATGATGTAATTGTGGCAAGTAGAAAACAGTATTGGCTGAGACTCTTGGATAATTTGAATTGGTGGCAAAAAAAATATGAATGGGAGACCAATTAACTTCAAAAACTCCACAAGAGAGCAGGCGAATCTCTGAAAACAGTCGAAACATTTAAATCAGAATTTGGATGTGCTGATTATGGAAAATAATAAAATAATGAAAGAAAGGGTGACCAACAGGAATAGGTATTGCTTTTTTGTGCAAAAATACTAAATTAATACTGCATACTACTAAATACACAATACAATACTGTCTCGCAGGAACAAAACGGTGTTTTAAAAAGTTATAAGACTCATCGTCTGCTATGATTGTGAGACAATATAATAAAGTTACTAAGATTTGGGAAAAGGGTTGTCCTCTGGATCTATGACCAGATGTGCTTCAGAGACAGTGGAGAATTCAAACTGGTGGAAGAAGTGTTTGAGGTACTCCATATCTTCTGAGTTGAGTGGACGAGGTAAGGAATATTGGCAAATGCTTGTCTAGAATAAGAAGGAATGGAGGAAGGAGAGGTTCTTGCAGAAAGATAACACCAATAATTAATAAATAAAAAATGTGTAGACAACTTATATCTACAACCATGAGGAAAATAACAACATTAGTGTTTGGTAAAACCTTTCCCCCCACCCAAAAAAAAAAGACTGTAGCAGAATCACTACAAAATGTGTTCCTTGAGTTTTGAATTGGTTAGTTTTCATTAACTTTGCTAATTAGAAATAAGAGTTGTGAATGAGAATTCTGGAGGAAATAGAACCTATTTCTCCATCTCAAAATTATTTAAAATTAGATCTTAATTCGTCCCACTAAGAATCATGGATCTTCAACTCTTTGAGCTATACAAGGAACTCAGCATCAAAAATGTTCCAGATGGCATGTGCTGAAATGTTATAGAGAGAAAGCTTAATGTAGAATCTCTGTTGTTCATGCTAGAGATAGAAATATTGTTGGCTATTATTTAGCTTACCACACACAGTTTTATGGCCTGTCATGCCAATAGGAGAACTACATATCTTTGGAATAAAATGTATTCATAACTTAGTTGCTTGTATTAACTTAGTTGATTACAGTTGCAATAATATTAATTAATTAATTAAATCTATAATATTAATAAAAACAAACTTTTAACTCACAAATTTCCTTATATTTATCTTGAATCATGAATTTATTCATATATAATTGGTCCTTCAAAAATTATAAGAACTAATTTTTTTCAGCCACAGCCTCAATATAGGATGAATATGGGGCAACAGCAGATGGTTCGAGCGGGACTTCCTCAAGCACAACCAGGCCAGCAAATGAATTCTCAGCAACAGCAGTTTGATGATGTTGCTTCTTATGACTTCTTATCTTAAACAACTTATCATTTTATCCAAATTTCTGATTCATTTTTGTTTTATTTGATTTTTAATTGTTGAAATTGGATAGAGTTTTTATAATTCTATATCTTCGTATTTATATGTGCATTAGGCTGTGAATTTTTAATGTAATTTTTATTTTTTGATTTAGAATCAAAACAACAAACGGATGCTTTATTTCAATTTTAATTTTAATTTAATATGTTGTATTTTGTAGAAAATTTGATTGTAAATATTATTAAAAAAATAATAAGTTTAAAATATTCTTTATTTCAATGATTAGCTTCTTGTTAAAAAAAAAAAAGATTAGTTATAATATCTCAATTATTTGTATTATATTGGCAAATAATTATTTAGTTTTATTTGTAAATGGAAACTCGCCTTTATTTATAAGTATATACTAAATTATTCTTTTATATAATGTAAGTGTCACTAGATTTAAAAATCTATTTTACCCAAGCTATATCAACCAAATCAGTATAATGTTGCTTGTAATACCATATTGTTTTAGTTATGAACTTCGTTCCAAATTATTTTAAGCTTCCGTGTCAACCACTTGTTTTATTGACAACATTTATTCAATTGCAATAAAATGGGTAAAATTCCAACAGCAGTATTTTATTTAAAAAATAGAATAAAATTATTAAAAAATATAAACAGCATAGTCATCAATAATTACATTTCTTTTTTTTTAATTGTCAATCTACTTTTATCTATCTTTACTTATTTAGTAGGAACAGCTATTGTTTTTCGATATTTTGTGTAAATGAAACAAAAGTATGACTAACTTTTAACATAAAAGGTTAATTAGATATCAAATATTTAACTATTTTGAGAAATTGGGAAAATTACCATTAAATTTTTTAACGATGCATATATTTTTTTTAATGTTAATTATATTTCTTTTATCCTAAACCCAATCAAACAATTACAAAAATTATGATTTGTTATAAGAACTTTTTTTCTCTATATAACGTGTACAGTTCTCTCATATATCCTGTCATTTCATTAACTTTTTTAGTTTTTAAGATAAAACATTTGAACAGGAATTAAGTTTAAATCCATTTATAAATTTGTTATTCACGAATAGAGCATGTGTTTTTAAACTCCATTTGTTAAAATAGGTAAATTAAAATACCTCCACGTTGTGGAGTAGTCCACTATGTGCAGAATATCTCAGTGTAAGACATAGATGTAGTCCAACTGGAAAAACTTTTAATTAAGCGTGGCTAAGTTGTGATTCTCTATTCCTACGAGGCCTTAATTGTGGACAATATACCAAGAAGTTTGTGGTACTTTTTTATACTGTCTGCCATATATTGTTATCCCAAAAAGTTTAAACTTGGCCCTTGTGGTATCACTTTTGACCTTACCTGCAAGACTTTTAATTAATAGTCCGTGGTACAGACCCCTTTTTATCGAATTATTAGCATCCACCTGAAACTTTGTAAATAGTTTCATCACATCGTAACCTACAACTTTTTTATTTACAAAAACTCTCTTACTAAAATCTCGTAAACATTCATTTGCTTTCTACTTGGATCGTAAGATGATATGATCACAAAATCGAGAAAAAAAGGTGGCCTACAAAAATATTGGGCCATTTTTCCTATATAACCTCGTTATTTTTAAAATTTGGGAGTGTAGGTCATTCCAAATGGCTCAATATTTTTTAAGGCCACCTTTTATTCCAAGAGTTTTCGTAAATAAAATAGTTGTTGGTTACGATGAGATGAAACTATTTACGAAGTTTCAGGCGGATGTTAATCATTCGATAAAAAGGAGTCTGTACCACGGACTATAAAGATTCTCTCTAATGTCCTATGATGGTCTTTTCCAGGTCCTTGGGAATTTCTGGTTGCACTGTGGGACATACATAGTCCTGCTGACATCTAAAAATAAGAGAGGGTTTATTTATACTGTGTTTACTTGCTAATCTGCTTACCCATCTTTGTGTGTTTGATATATGTTCATGAATTGTATATTATTTGGTTTAGGCATTGAATTTTTTTTTTATCCCTCTGCCTTAATTTAACCACTCTCCATCGGGCTTGATTTTTATTTATTTAAGACTTGCTACACTGTTCAGAAATTCTGGTTTTTATAGTTTTTGCCAATGTTATTTATGAGCCTGTCTAGATTCATTTATAGGATACCACAGAGAAGTGATATTTCAACACTGATATGATGAGAGGACTGGGAAACGCCGAGCAATGAGTAGGACATTTTGGATCCATAATTCTACAAAAATTGAGAGATTCTCACTCATCTCCCTTTCCAACTCTTTTATCATATTTTTTCCATAATAAATAAAAAAAAAATATTTATAGAAATAAGTTCTGCTGGAGGAAAACAAAAGTAATAAATTGACAAACTAATTTTTTTCTATTTATTTTCTTTACTTTTGTTAGTAGTAATTATTAAATAAAATAAATTAGTTTTGATGTTTTTTAATTAATGAAGTATCTCTAATTCCTTTGCTTATCTAAAAAAAATGTTTATAACATTATCCAAAACTTCATACTGGCAAAGCTTGAGAAGAGGGTCTCTTAAGTCCTATTACTTTACTTAGATCTATAGGATTCAACATTGATCTCTTGGTGGGTTATAACACCTGTAATAATTTGTTGTCGAAATTTGGATTGATATATTAATTGATAATAATCTAAGCTATTTCATTAATAAAAAAATGAATAGACCTATTAACAAATAGACTACATGAAAGTTAAACTTTTGTTTCTTACATCTCAAAGTTGTAAAAAATAAACCAATAATATTTGTGTTATTATTTATACCTTCTGGATTTAATTTATATTAAAAATATGTTCAAAATATGAGTTTGTTATTATTTTTTTAACCTTGGTAAAAATGTAAATTTTTGCATATATATGCAAAGTTTAAAGTTCCTGGACAATCAGAAGATATGAAATGATTAAATTTATTGTTTATATCTCCCTACCTAATAGTATCATTCTCTTATTAATTTTTTTTAAAAAATCTGTGCGCGCAACACACAACTTTCACCTCTCAAATTTGAATAGAAAATAATTTCTGGCCAAGTTTGTCTATAAAATTTTTGAATTGCATTTTTAACCAAGCTAAATCTAAAAGATTACAGCTAACAAATCTAAAATAACAAAAGTCCTATTTACTATACCGGTTGATCATGGATTGTACGACTATTATTTATTTAACTGTTATTTTACCTTACAAAGTTTACTAAAACAGAATTAAAATTGCATTGTCCGTCATAGACTGGTCAAAAGTTGTCACACTAATTGTAAGTGGATACTGTTGGGATATCGCAAAGGGAAAATACATCAAATTATTCACTAATTTAATTTCTTTGAAAACACATGATTTACATTAAATAATGTTTGTTTTTAGAAATTATTATTTTTATTTTTTTCTTTACTTCCCATTATCTTCTACAACTTTCTATATTATACATTGTTTTTTTTTTTTTTGTTTTTTTATTCTCCGCTTTTTAATGATATATTATATCTATACCTTCTGACTATTATTTCTGTTTATTCATTTTCAACATGGATAAGTATTTTTCTTTTATTTAATTATCAAATTCTTCCATAAGTTATATTTAGCATTTTCCCACGTATTCTAACAATGATAAATAGTTATTATTTATAATAAACCAAATTAAAGGTACTTCAGAGGAACACATGATAATGTCGGGATTTCACAAAAGGAAAATTCATCAAATTATTCACTAATTTAATTTTCTAAAAAGTTATATGACAATTTTTTCAGAATAAACATTGATCCCTAATTATTTAAATATAATATCAGATCTCTAATCACTAAACTACAGTAAATGTATTTAAGGTTATTAACATATGCTTTATACACCCATGAAATGATTTTATATTTTACTTCTTTTTTCACACAACTACAATGAAATAGTTTTTTTTTAACAATGCCATCCCATTGATTAGGTGGATTTTAAATACTCTTTACAAATTTAAAAATATTTTTTAAAGTTTACATTTAGTTACTAAATTTCATTTTATTTTCTTGAAAACATGTGATTTATGTTAAATATTATTAGTTTTCAAAAATCATTATATATAATTTTGTCGCCACTCTTACCTTCTACAACTTTACGGCTATATCAGATGTTTTTTTCTAAAATTCTTCGCTTTCCAACAATATACACTGACAGGCAAAAAATTCCACCCACTTGTATATAAAAAAGTTGTATTTGTATATAATACATGGTATTTGTAGATAATACTTAGTATTTATGGAATTTTATAATCTTTTTTACCTTTAATAATCAAAATGTGATTGGGTAAGAAAGATTAGAGAAAAAAAAATTAAAAACGAACCATTATTATTCTAAAAGAAATTCATTACATCATCGTTTAGTAGCATGTTTCCTCCTCTTGCCTTCACTACTTCTTGAAGACGCCTTGGCATACTTTCCACCAGTCGGGAAATGCCCCTTTGCTGGAGGATAGCCCATTCCTCCCGAAGAGCTCTTTCAAGGTCCTGCTGTGTATCAGGAAGTGTTACATGGCTCTTATTCCTCTTCGGAGATTATCCCATAAATACTCAATGGGGTTCAAATCGGGAAAACGTGCTGGCCAGGCTAAAACCTCAATATTGTTCTGTTGAAGGAACGTCTGCACTATGCTGGCGACACGTGGGCGTGCATTAGAATAGAACGATCGCCGATTTCGTTGAGAATAGACAACACATGAGGTTCCAAAATCTCATCTACAAAGCGAATGGCCGTCAAAGACCCTCCACGAACAGCAACCAATTCTGCCCAGTGCTCTATTGAAATCCCAGTACACACCATTAAGAAACCACGTTGGAAAGGTCGGCTCTGGGAAAAATTACAGGCTGCATATCTTTCGTTTCTTCTTCTCCACACCCTTTCACGCCCGTCTGGAGATCGAAGAGCAAATCTTGACTCATCTGTACAGCACTCCGTTCGTCCATAGTCCAATGGCTGTGTTCTCGAGCAAAAGCCA